AGAATCTGTGATTCTCTTTGTCTGAGGTCACTGGTGCGGAAAATGCTTTGATTATCAGAAAATAATACAAATTGGCCCCGATTCTTAAGCTTGCCTGGTTCTCATGTCTCGTAATTCATCGACGATGTTATACGATCCATTGTCAGACTTCAATGAAGTATATAATATAGACCGGCAAAGCATTTTATCGATAGACAAAGCGTTTTATCAGTTATCAATAACCACCAACAATAGACATCGCCGATGAATAGCGATATAATTATGAGAACCAAGCCTTTGGAGCAAGTGTGAACAGGTTTTTACTACCACAAGAACAACAACAACGAATATTAGTAACCGCGTAATGTGATTTTATAACAAGGAAAACGCGACCTTAAAAATCTTTTACGATATTGCAGCGTAATATAATATTATTATATTAGTGATAAGAATGATATTGAAATCCCTAATTTGTAAAGGAAACAAACAAGAAAAGTTTTATGAATAATGAAAGCCACACATAATATCATGCAATAAAGATGTTTGCTGACTCCCGAATCTAAAACCCAAGATCTTCCTAAGGATGTTTGGATTAAAATACTGTGGTGCAATTTCTGAGTTTTTGATCCTTGAAATAATTGTTTGCGGCAAAAACATCGACTAGCGCTGGACCAAAATAAGATATATACAGAGTAATCATGAACGTATTAGCAAAGACATGTCGTTGCCAATATTTCTGCCAAACCTTTCCCATGGGAATGTCATAAAAATGAATTTGGATGAAAACCGAAATTATGTTGAATACAAAGTCTATTGTAAAACTTATTGTAATTCTGAGTGTGGAATCTCTTAGAATATTCCATTCAGGAATATCGTAGTTTATCATGAGGTAGCATGCCAAATACGCCTGGCTAAACACGATCGTGGTGTAACCAAAAATGATATTCTGGATTTCAAGATCTGCTCTGAATCGGCGAGTTCGCGGCGAGATTGAGGATCGAACTTCTAATCTTGGTCCACAACACGTTCTATTTAAACATGTAACAATATGCTTCCAGAGTCTCATTCTGATGTTAAGCGTTGCCTTGGTGAAAACATTTGACGCTCCATGCAACAATGATAATCCAATAAAAACCCCGATATTGTGGAAACCTGACTGCATTGTTCGGTACACAGCGATCGCACCTCCTCGTATGAAATAGCACAATACAAATGTGCGATCAGAAGGAATGAACTCCGAGCTTTTTCTTAGCACAAGGTATTTTGCAATTGCCGCCGTGGGGATGGCCATTCCTGGGGTGAGCGCGGCGATAAAGGTCTTTTTGACTCCATCCTTGGTTTCTCTGAAATTCTTAATGACAACAAAGAAAGCTACATATGAAAAAAGACTGGAAGCCAAGAAAGGGAAGAGAAGGATAAAGAATACTCGCAGAGTGCTGCCGGATAGCGTAGAATTGACCTTCTTGAATTTACGAGCCACCAAGTAAACACCAATGATTAACGCAACCACAAACATGATATGATTTGGTATTCTAAAGAAAAAACGAGAGATATCATAAAAACCCACATTTTTTAATCAAGTATTTACCAGTAGAATTGACCCATAATAAACAATACTAAGCAAACTTTTGATTTATGCAACAAAATTAAAAGGGAATTTGCAAAAAGGGCATACTAAACTTAGAAAAATTGCCAAGTTTGGCTGCGAAATATTATAAATTGATATATAGCCATGCGAGGTTGGTAAATTTGTATACCTTTTTTACTACGGCCGGAAGTGTGTAACTAATTTAGTTACAAAAATGCCTACTTTTTCTATGGCTATGTTTTCCGATTACTTCACACTTTGCAGCCAAACCTGGCAGTTACACTAATTTCGTTATGCTCTTTTTAGTTGTTATGATATATTTCCTTCTTGCAAATTGCTATCTGGCCCTGTGTCATAAGTTTGTCTATAACGCAAAAGGCCCATTCAGTGTGAGAAGGTTATTTTCTGGAATATTTCTATTCTAAAGTTTCTGCAACCTGGAATTTTAAAGTTGCATAATATGATTATGTAGTTTTGGCGGGAAAATTTGAGAAATTTTACAATGATCTTACAATGGCAATTGCAAATTCACGAACTAAGGAGTATAATACACAACAATATTAACTCTAAAAATAAACAGTGTCATATAGCCTAATATTTACTTTTGGTTTTCGATGCACTTAATAGCTACATTTTCACATTTCTGATGATGTGTTCATAGTTACTACTGTTGTGTATTTAATGTGAGTTGGGTTTTGGCTGCTTTTTTTAAGGATAAATAACTTATTATTGGCTCAGCTTGTTCCGTCTACTTGAGGATACTATCGAAAGCGGGAAAAATATTGATCGTGTATAGTGTTATCCTGTGCCGATCAGTAAAATATGTATAATATAATTTTTGTAATAATAGTAATAGTATATTATTTCATCGAATCAGACTATAATACTAACAGGTATACGCTTTCTTGAAATTTCACAAACTTTTTCCACATAAATGTTTTGTACACACAGTCGATCGATAGAAACAGCATGTAAAGAACAGATAAAAGGCATAGATATTGCTTTCTAAACTCTTTGAAACCCCACAGCATAATAATGCTTGCTGGAAACCATAACGTTATCGGAAGGATAGAGAAACAATTACCAAACATTTGCACGATTCGAACATGCCACGGAACTTTCCGATCGTGACGAATCCATGGTAAACACACGTCCTTTATGTTCAAATCGATGTAAACAAAGCCAACAGTGAGCAAGCCTATTATAAAAACAACTGCCATTATTATTCCTATATTTGTCAAAAAACTTCGTAGAAACGATTTCCAAAAGTTTCGCTCGTGCTTTTCATCAGCTTGCATTAAAATAGGGATATTTTCAGCATTTTGAGGCAACCTTGGCGGTTCTTCTCGAGTCTCTTGTTCGTACTCCTGGTGTATTAGACCATCATCAACTTCCTGCTGTTCACGATTCTTTGCGTAATTGGAGCCTCTTTGTGCAGTTTCCCGGGATATTGGAGGTGATCCAATTATCACCCTTGAGACAAGTGAGAAAAAACTTCCAAATAATTGCTCAAGAAACATTTTAGGCGAGATAAGCTACAAATTTGTCAATTCAATCCTTCGGACTTGGCATATATATCAAAAAGTATATCAGTTTCTATTCCGAACGCAATGACAGGCATAGGATATTTATATTCTCCTAGTTTATTTGCTTTCAAATTCGGACTAGGATGCCGTTCACATGAATCCAGTTAGCTTGTCAACTATAATGTGCGTGCTATTGGCGTGATGGCTACACGTCCACTGACAAGTGTTATTATTAAAACACTTTATGCTATTATACGTTTAAGCCTAAAAATTATCCTGAAATCAATACGATTGCCCTTCGCTAAGTTTTCTTAAGAGCGCCGCCCCCGAATGAGCGCCGCATTAATTATTTTCAAATTCGGCGTTTAATCGACGCACTGTCAGAATTGTTGAAGACGCTATTGTTAAATCGGTCTTTAGAAGTTTCGTATGGCGCAGGGCAATCGTGAAGGCAGAGATTCCAGTGATTTGTGCGAGGAGGTTAGTTTTCTGTAAAATGTCCAAATGGGGACATTTGGCTATATCTAAGTTTCAATTCTTTTCATTTAAAGTTCTTGTTACAATTCACAAAATTATTAATATTTTTTAAACAGCGCCGCCCCTGATTGAGCGCCGCCCTCGATTAAACGCTGCATCTGAAGTTTTAAAAATTAAAGAGCGCCGCGGCGCTGAAATATGGTACGCTTTGTATGGTTGAACTGCATTATGAGACTGATAATATTTTTTATGTGCAACTGCAGAAAAATCCGGACCGTACAGGAAAATTCATATTAGGTATATTACACGTCAATATATCAACAATCCATGTCGAAATGTTCGTATGAATGTGAGGGATTTTATAAGTTCGTTGAGAGAACACGGCCAAAATCTTGGGCAATATATTTTTGAATTTGGCGGACTGTAGAAATACCCAAGGTAAAAGATTCGTTTACAAAACGTTTCTAAACAGCTGCTCTATCCTTCCAGAGGTCGGCATGCAAACAGTGCGAATTAGCGTACAGGCGACAGCCATTTTATTACCAATTTCTGGTAATGGTATGATCTTGAAAAACAATGCAACCTCGTGTTTGCTGTGACTGCATGCTGTGACTTAATTGATATTATAGATGCCAAGCAACTTGTGGGGCTGCCTGTTCTAGAATTATTTCTTTCCACTAACTTTAATATGTTCTAACCATTCTGCACAAATTGAGCGGGTTTGCTCTGAGGCTAAGTTTCAAAAAATTGTGCTGTCCTATATGTTTTAGAACCTATACATTTGTAATGAGATTTTTTATTAAGCGAACAACAAGCCGACGTCGACTATAAATTCCAGCTTATTCGATGAAAAAGTATCTCCATATTATGACATTACATTCTATGATAGTTGTTATTTAGTAAAATTAATGCTTTTCATTTTACGGGTGATGTATACTAATATGCCAAACAATGAATCCTCGTGCTTGTCGTAGGAAGACGTATACTCAGCTGCTAGGCGTCTATTTCTATGTTTCAGGTAGGGAAAGCAATACAGAGGTATTATAATGAACCCGTCGTTATTAAAACAAAATGGGGAATAATAATCATAATTCAATTTCCTAGATTCGTTATAAATAGTTGACACATATTAAAGCATGGAGTATTAAACAGGGACGCCGGACGACAAACTTTTTTGAACAGGCTTGTAACAAGTCTTGTTTGTTGTCAAGTTTGTTATAACATGTTAACAAGTCTTCCCATATACTTGTCGAAGCATGGGACCAGCATTGCGAACACAAATTTCTGACATCTTTTTTGCAGACGTGTTACAAGATGTGATATTTTCACGCGTGTATACTGTATAGTGGTAATTATGACGTTTTAATTATAAGCACATGTGTAACGGTAACGTCTATTGTTCATGCACGTGGTTGTCGTGTGCATGAGATACTTAAATCGTCGCCTTGTTGTCACTCCTACTTGTGTAACGATATTGCTTATCTGGAGTTAATCTAATTTCTTGCAACAGCAATATAAGTTAATTTTAATAAAAGTTAGAGTGGAGAGTCCGTGGAACAATGTCGTGTTGCAGCTTTCTCCGAATGTTAATTATGTGTTCCTACATTGCATGTTTTTGCCTGTGTTTCGTAACAGTTTCAGGTTTAAATGGTACGTATTCGACTTCCACGGATATTTTATCTAGTTTCTAAATGAATATTCTGCTGTAGTATAAAAATCTATTGCTATACCTACAGTAACCTCCTTTTTATTTGCCCAATTTGACTAAAGTGAACGACGTTCAAATACATATTCTGGGTCAATTCAGTTGTGCTTTGAAAGACTACTGAACTGAACTCGAGAACTTTGATAACCCCATTAATGACACGACAATCTGCTCGTGGAATGTTCATGGAAATTTTCTCGCTAAAATTTTCTGATCTATTTCAATTAACTAGAAACAACTGACAGTCATTTTGAGCAGCATCAACGTTTACTGGAATCACTCATGAATGACTCGCATACAAGAAAGGAAATCCTTCCCGCTGTGGACAACAACAAGCCTGTGAATGTTGAAATAGGATTAAAAATACGACAAATAGCAAATGTGGTAAGTTGAAAAAGTTGAAGTACAAGTTTCTACAGGATCCTTAATGCACAGTATAATAAATCATGCACAATGCCAATATCATTACATTAAATCAACTAATTATATGACATGCTGCACTGATGATCATGACAGTCAGCCGTTTGAATATAGATTGTTCGTATAATTATTATTATATAGCCTTTTTTTCCTTATGTCAGGGAGAATGCGCCAAATCATGCATTAAAATTTTATACCCATGCAGCTACCAACATATCGCACTGAGATAAAAATTTTGCGACATTGCCTGGTCTCGTCTGAAAGCGTCGCTCCAGAGCGAATAATTTTATAGGATAATAGGTCGAAGATTACTATCGTCGTGAATCGTGAATGATGCATGACAGAACTGGAATAAGCTAGGGGTGGTGCAATAAATGAATCTTCGTATTTTCCTAGAATGTGTGATACACATAATTATGTATATAAACAGTATTATAAAGGCCATGTAACACGGTGCAATTTTTTTTGCAACTTGCAATGCAATCCAACTTTTATTGAGTTGTAAATTAGTCCAGAGTATTTAAAATGTAAGTGTAAGAAACGTAGCTACATTGACTGCAATAAACATAAACATTTCGTAGTTGGCAAATTTATACCTCTCAAAAGTAGAATTGCATTGCAAGTTGCAAGAAAAATTGCACCGTGTAATAGGGCCTTAGAAAGTAATATATAATTTATAGTGACAAACAAAAAGCTGCACTAATATTTAAAACTTTAAATGGTCCAACTCCAGATTATTTGCAAGAAGTGTTTTCATCCAGGAATAGTTATTACACTTTAAGAAATTCTAGTGGCAAGTTGTTTCTACCTAAACCTGCATGTAACGAGTCGTATCTTAAGCGCTCCTTTAGTTATAGGGACCTTTGCTTTGGAACAGCTTGCATGCAGGAATCTTTAAGAGATTCTTCGTCACTCTCCTTCTTTAAAGCAAATTTGGAGTCCTTATATTTCCACACGACTGCCACTGACACGGCAATCAGTAACAGTACTTCCTATTTTTTCTTACCTTTTATCATAAACTATGTAGCTACTGGTGGTTTTTCCGTGCCTAAATAAAGTTTATGTATGTATTAATGTATGTATGTTTACTCGCATGCATTGAAATCAACGAGAGATTCGGCGCATTAAACAAAAATTTTCCTGCCGTTTTCCTACTTATCATACAATTCATACCCCTGATCGTTCTCACTCCACCTCAATAGGACGAGAAGAATCAAGTGATACGCCTCATCCTCTGGGTAACCTTGCAATGGAGAAATCCATACCTCATGTGGGATCCTGCAGAGTATGGCGGAATCGAGAGTGTCCATGCTGATCATGATCATTTTTGGGTTCCTGATCTCGCAGTGTTCAATGAGTGAGTTTGTTTGTCTTTTGTTTGTCTCTGTTTTCACGAGATTCATACATATGTTTTCGCTTTCGTGTCGCTCGCGCGTGTACGCGAGTCTTCTCGGTCTATTATTATGTGACAATGATAATAATAATATACAATTATTGGATGAGGCTGACCATTGAGCATTGGGGTCTGAATAATTCTTTATATCATGCGAAAGCCGAATTCAATAATTGTCCAAAAAAACCGGAAACGAGAATGCAGTATGAATGTATAATAATAACAATCATTACCATAATAATAGACCGAGTCACCGAGTCACATGTCTGGGCTGCCTATAGGCCGGCGCACACTAGAGCTATGTGCTTAGCAAAAAGTCATTCGTGGCCATTGGCGTAAGCCAGTTGCTTCCGTGTGCGGGCGACTTTTCCGGCGACTTTGGTCATTCGTGCCACTTACGGCAAATATATAGCATGTTTGATAATTTCTGCATCGCGTGCCAAAATCTTTCCGTGTGCGGCAAACTGAAAGCTATCTGCTTGAAAGCTTTCTGCTTGCAAAATGAATATTAAAAGCATTAAAGCACTCTTTGTTTGTGTATTATCGGGTTTTACATGCACTCGTTCACAAACAAGGAACTCGAAGTTCAATACTGCACTCGGCTTCGCCTCGTGCAGTATTGAACTTCTCGTTCCTTGTTTGTGAACTCGTGCATGTAAAACCCGATAATGCACTCACAGAGTGCTTTAATCCTTAAATATCACATATTATTATGATGCGATGCCTCAATCCGAAGTTATTAAATAATAATAATAATACCTTCATTATTTAAAGTTTCTCGAGAATCGAGACAGCGTGTGTATATTTTTTCCTTGCGACTTTGTCAAGAGTGGCAAAATGAGTAGGTTCCTGGCATCCTGATTTTAGGAAGTGCAGCACTTCTTCCACTTAAGCCTAAGACATTCAAATTATAGTGTTAATACATGGCCATAACAACGACAAATTAATAAATATCAATAACAATAATATCTTGGTTATGATCAGTATGATCACAATAATTTCATCATTACACTAAAACAACAGTCCGAATATCGGTGTCAGATCGAAGTCATCGAACATTTGAATTCGAACTAAACAGAGTTTGCACGACAATGACATACCTTATATTTACAGATTTCCGAGTCAGGTTTCTTCGCTTTAACGCCAGAACAGCAAGCTGATTCAGTTGTTGAATTTGCAGCCATTTAGGAAACAAAAAAATTTCGAAAAATCTTCCTTTGAGACAAGTCAGAGAATACGTGTTGAACAGTAAACCATAAGTAAACAAGTTGCGAAATTTATGAACAGAATGTAATTTATGCACGCATTTGCGCATGCTCAGAACTGCGACACTCATATATTTCGCAAGTCATAAATTTCGCGTGACACCGCACACGAGAGCAACTGGCTTACGCCAATGGCCACGAATGACTTTTTGCTAAGCACATAGCTTTAGTGTGCGCCTGCCTTATGATTCCACGGGAGATATTTTGACACGAAATGCGAAATATTTCGTCAGCTTCTTTTGAATTGTGAGGAACCAAGCAGGATGAATTGATACAAGTTGTCGCAATTCAACTGCGAAACAGTTGAAATATTTCGCTGAGAAAAAACACCCGTGGAATCAGGTCCTAATGGTAAATCATAGTAAATTATTTTAGCCCTGCCGTGTCAATAAATTGAGTCAAGTAACGGGGGTTTAACTGTTTCAGGGCTGGTTTTGAGGACGAAATTGTAATTTTCCACAAGCGTTTACAGACTAAATTGGTCATAACAAAAGATGGTAATTTTACTTGGAAGGCTCCGGTTACATTGAACAGTCATTGCACAATAGATGTAGCAGACTTTCCCTTTGACGAACAAAAATGTTACGTGGCAATTGGCTCTTGGACTTATGCAGGACATAAAATCATCATGACATACTCCGATCGCAATGCAGACACGAGTTATCTCATTAAAAGTGGGGAATGGCGTCTACAAAGTGCAAGTTTAACTCAAAATTTCAGATATTATACCCCCGACTACACTCCTCATCCACACATCACCTTGACATTGGAAATTAAACGCCGTTCATTGTACTATGTATTACAAATAGTGGTTCCGCTAGTACTCATTTCGTTGTTACCGATTTTGACTTTTATTTTGCCACCAGAAAGCGAGGAGATAACAAGTACAGTGACAACAATTGTAGTTGCTATTTCTGTTTACGCGATTATCATATCCTCAGCATTACCAGAAACCTCCGATTCTGTCTCGGTTTTGCAAATATACTGTTTAGGGATTCTTGTAACCGTTGTGGTAACCTCAGTGCACGGAGCTTTGACGTCTAGATTCGTAAAATTGACCTCTCCCTTGCCGCATTGGTTTAAACGTTTCATTAATTTTACAAAAATTTTTACAACGCTCTTCTCGTCCACATCGAAGCCTTCCCAGAAATCAGATGTACAAGGATCGGCGCACAATAAAACAGATGTGGAATCTCCTAATCCAAACAGGAATGAGGACATCGAAATGCCGTGTACTAGCGAAGAAAGTTCGCCAACGGAAAACAATAATCGTGACACGAAAGTCGATGAAAATAACGAAGAATGGAGATATGCAGCATTAGTTGTTCGTAGAATTTTCGTAGTACTCTATATTGTTTCGCTCCTGGGTTTTAATATATACCTGTTGGCAAAACTGTAATGCTGTTAAACGAAAGGTGTTCTGGAAGAAAAATAAAACAGGAACATATTTGAGCAATTTGGAACAATTATACAAATTCTGTTTCTGCAATCCTTGCCATCTATGCAAAGATTATTTATTCAGTAGCGTCTGCAATCCTCGCCATCTATGCAAATATTATTCAGTAGTGATCATATATATGAAAAGATGGTGCTAAATTGCATAACTTTTCTTTTTCCCAGATTCAGTGTTGTACCTTATGTAGCCACAAAACTTTAGGCAATTAGGTTTCAGGATCAATACTTTAAAATTCAATGTTTACATTAATATTTTGTTTTAATTATAATAAACACCTTTTTCTTGTGTATTCTCCCAAGTCTGACTAAAGGTAATGACCATGCTTGCATATCGTTTTGAAAGTGTAAATTAATGCTTTTGCGGTAGATTTATTAGTGCTTTTTTTTAAATTAAAAATTTATAACAGCTATATAGATCCATGGCTTTGAATTGTTAATTTTTAAGGGCTGGCTACCAGCTTTAACTGCACAATAATAATTATTGTTCGTAGGTTCGTTGGACAGAGGTTTGCCTATGAGCTTTCTTTTTAAACTTTCCTTTTGCTGGAAATTTTGCTACGGAGGTTTGTTTCTTAATATACTCGTTTGCGTAACGAATTAATTGAGAAGTCAGAAGTGTACTGCGATAAGGTAAATTATTCACTGTTCGTGTTTACGTAAACTATTCTCAGATAATGCTCTAAGTTAATATAAACTACTATCGCGGTCAGTCCTTCCAAAACCTGCAAATATTTAACAGCCAGTTTCTATCAGTTTGATGCATACACAAGCGTACAATTGTGATGTCTGTGAAAATTTTGCCGACAAGCGCAATCTAAAGAGGCATCAAGTGGTACATGCAGGTATAAAGGTGGGTGCAAAATATGTCAGTCTCTGGATTCAGCACATAAGGCAGCATGCAAAGACACAAGAAATTCGAAAATTTGCACTTATGAATTATTCTCTAAAATCATGCCCTCTTTTAAATTTTAAGCCTATATGTCTATGACAGAAACTTAAGCTATGAAATATCAACAGGCCCCGAACAGAACTCCTGCAAGTTATACTTACTTCCAAAAACCCTAACTATGATTGGTTAGGACCATTTTTTAGTAACTGCCATTAGAATGTCTTATCTTTCTATTTGGTTGGACTCAATCTTTTTACCATCCTTTTTTTTCTGACATCAACTGAACCAAAGTTAAAGAGAGCTGATGTCAAATTGCCATGCATTGAACAGGCAAGTCTATGAAGGATGATGTAATATCCGAATCAGTTGAATTTGCACCACGTAGAGACGTATAACAGGACAATGAAAGAGCCTCTCCAATGGCAATCTTGGCAGGTTTCTGTCTGTCATCAGGACAATCGATTGGAACAAAATTTAAACACTTATCTTTTTTTGCAGCCCATAACATGAATTGGCGTTTGCAACTTCACGACTGCATGACCAATGGTCATGTCAACAGTATAACTAGGAAAAATGATAACATAATAATACGCTTTGGTTAATAAAGTGGGGAGAGAAACGCCCGTGGTTCTGTGATTTGTGGTTCTCTGTTGTTTGGTTCTCGCCGTTATTTCGTTCGGGAAACGTAACGTGATTGCACATAGAGAATATGATACAACAGTGGCGTCGCCAGCATCGATAAGTGGGGTGGGTATATTCATATTCATATTGACAGACCGTAAAAACAATCAATTTGAAAAGAAATTAATAATGCAAAACGCGAATATATGAGTATGTTCATCCCACTTATCATGCTGGCTACGCCCTGGTTGCAAATGAAATTCATCTCTGAGTGCTTCTATTATGTGCGATTAATTCAGTATTTGCTGCCCGCTGACCTGAAATCATGACGTATGGAACAAAATGATAATTCAGTTTTTCGAGGATATGTCGTTTGATTCTCTATTCATATCAGCTGGTAGCCACGCTAAAGTTAGCGAAAAACGTTCACCACAAAAAATTTTTGGCACAAAAACGAGAGAATTGTATTCAAAAGTTTGAAGTATATAAGAGTTATAAGAAATGTACTAAGGAAATGAAGGCTCAGTTTTGTTAAGGTTCTGTCTTACGATAGATTAGCCGATAGATTAGCTCATAGATTTGCTATTTTTTTATAAAAAGTGAACAAGTAACAAAGTTGAAAACTCACTTTTTGCTTCATATTTTGGCACACACTAAGTTTAGGCTTTCATATAAATCCGGAACCTGAACTATAGAAGTTATCATTCCAGGTTCACTGGATGGATACTTATGAAAGAGACATGCAACAGCGACATGCATGACAAATTAAAATTGAATTCACTGCTGTACATACGTCAAATGCAGCACTGCCATCCTCTGTACTGAACGAAAAAGGGGACTGATACGTTCCAATATAACCATTAAGGGAGCAGAGTGGCAGCGTCTTCAAACAACTTGGCATCAAATGTGGTATAACAACTGCTTAAAATTGACAAAAAACCTCTCGACGTCTCGACCTGAGGGCCTTCGTCGGAAGAGTTAGTATGGCAGTAAGAGAGAGTTATAGTATCATACTAACTCTCATGACGAAGGACCTCAGGTCGAAACACATTTGATGAAAAAGGGGTCATGTTAAATGGGACGGCCCGTAATTTTTATTTTCATATCTATTAAACAGTAACCATTTGTACTTGTGAAGTGTGAACACAGAGGCAACAAAAGTTCGGCTTATATGGTTGCAAAAATGATCATGAGCAGGAAAGTTGCTTCGCCTTAAATGGTCTTAAAATATTGTTGTACAATTTTTGATTTTAAGATCCTTGAAAAAATCGTTTCCTGCGAACACACTAACCAGCGCCGGAGCAAAATAACTTATATAAATAAAAATAATAAGTAAGTTAGCAATTACATGAAGACGCCAACATTTCCGCCAGACGCTTCTCATTGGAATGTCATAATAATGAACTTGAACGAAAACTGAAATAATGTTGAATGCCAAGTCTATTCCAAAACTTAAACCTAGTTTGATCATTGAACCTCTGACAATTTGCCAACGAGGGATGTCGTAGTTCATGAGGATATAAAACGTCAAATAGGTCTGACTGATGACGACGATGATGTACTCAAACAAGATATTTTGAATTTCAAGATCAGCGTTGAATCGACGAATTCGCGGCGAATTTAAGCATCTCACTTGTAATATTGGCCCACAACGTGATCTGTTAAAGCATTTGACAATGCACTTCCAAATTTTAACTCTGATCCTCAGAGTTGCCTTGCTCAGAACATTGGAAACACCATGTAACAGCGATAGGCTAATAAAAATCCAGATATCTTGAAAACCTGACTGCAATGTACGGTACACAGCGATCGCACCTCCTCGTATGAAAAAGCACAATACAAAAGCCCGATCAGACGGAATGAACTCCCAGCTTTTTCGCAGGACAAGATATTTTGAAACAGCCGTCAACGGAATGGCAATTCCTGGAGTAAGTGCAGCGATGACAGCTTTTTTCGTCCTCCCCTCCGTCTCTCCGAATTTTTTTATCACAACAAAGACCATTAAATATGAAAATAGACAGGCACCAACACACGGGAATAAAAGGACAAAGGATATTCGTAGAACGCTGCAGTGTATTTCAGGATTAACCCTCTTGAATTTACGAGAAACCAAGTAAACACTAATAACAATGGCGGACAAAAACACAATGTCATTTGGTATCCTAAGAAAAAAATAAAGGATATACTCAGTAAACGTAACTATATACGAAGTCGAGTTACATAGCTATTGCTTTTTTGTTATAGGAACCTAACCTTACGTAAATGAAAATTGAATACAACGCATAGATAACGACAGAAGAGTGTGACAAATGTCTGAAATTTCAAGACTACAAATTACTTTATGCAACAAATTGAGGTTTCGTCTACCCCTGCGCGTTATTGAGGGGCTGTTCACATGAGCCCGTTTACCGATATTTAACGAAGCGTAAAATGGACTTTGAGGTATTAAAATGAGTAAATAACACGATTCTAGCTGGTAGTCGTACAACCATCCTATATAACAACAGCATGTGACTGTTATGTTTTAAAAATACTTTTTTCAATACCTCAAAGTCCATTTTACGCCTCGCGTTAAATCTCGGTAAAATTTGAAAACATCTTTTGAAAGCTCCGTGGTGCTGGTGTGTGATATTTTCTCTAATCGATTTTACTCCATGGATAACTTTTGCTTATTTACATATGTTCCCGCATTAATGCATCTAGTTTCAACTTCGGTCCACGCCAAGCTGCCAAGACCTTTTAATAAAAGAATGTATGGAGCCCGGCCTTAAATTACATACTCACATGTATATGTTATCTTTGGATTTCACTAATTTCTTATACAATAGTGAATTAAAAATACATGTGAATGATAGGGTCACTATGCAAATGCCAGACAGAAATGTTAAGTAGTGCTTTTTGAACTGCTGAAACCCCACAACATGACAACAATTCCTGGAAACCATAACACAAATGCAAGATTTGAAATACATGAAGCAGCCCTTTGTAGATTTAGGATACGCTGCGTAACTTTCTGATTGTTACGAATCCATGCTATACACACGTTTTTTGTATTCAAGTCAATGTAGACGACTCCAATCGTGAGCAAGCCTATTATAAAAACAACTGCAACCAAGATTCCTAAATTTGTCGTAAAACTCCGGCATAGTGATTCACAGAAACTCCGTCTGTTTTCTTCACTGGCTTCCACCAAAATTGGAATGTTCTCTTCATGTTGAGGCAACTGAACTTCGTACTCTTGGTGTATTAGACCATTGTCAACTTCCTGGATTCACAATTCTCTTCAGTCTCTTGAATTATCAAAGTGCTGTCCCTTTGGCTTCGCGGATTTTCTTGAGATATCGGAGGTATGCCAAGGACGAAACTCGAAACTAGTGAAACAAAACTTCCAATGAATTCCTCAAGAATCATATTTGCTGTAAACCTTCGCACGGATGTAACGGTGTATGAATGTTAATCATGTACGATTATTTATATAAACCTGTTTATCTTAATATAAATTGTTCTGCCAAGTTTTATTGCGCACGTGTTATAAGACACTGTCGCTTTCATTTTAGCATCAATCGAACGCTAATTGACCATAACAAAAAAGTCGGAAATCGTTTAAAAAACCGAATTGACGTCTTTAGACAGACAGGCTCAAAAAAGGTAAAATGTACATGCTGCCATCTTTTTCGTTACGGTCATTTGAAGGGGGCCATATTCATATATTCTGTTATGCCAGGCTGGTTTCTTGTGGAAGTAAAATCGTAACAGGCATAGCAGAATATATGAATATCAAAGACGACGCGAGAATGGCGAATAAATGGCGTAATACTCCTATATATGGACATGTTAGTTATGCCACGCCATTTATTCGCCATTTTCACGTCCTTTTGACGTTCGCTGTTCGCCTCCTCCAGCTAAATCTGCCTAATATTGCACGACTGAGTTTTTCATTTTCCACCGGCCCAGAACCAGAACTTTAACGGCCAGAAGAATTGAAAATGTAAAGACGTCATGTAAGAATATTAATAAAATCTCGAAACTTCAATATGGCGGCCAATAAGGAGCAAACTGATTTTGTTTGTGTCGAGTGTGGGCAAAAATCTGAAGAGATATACAAAGAATTTAGAGGAGGAAGCTTTAAACTTTGCATCTGTGTAAGTGTAATATTTCGAATTACTTCCAAGAATTAGGTTTAGGTATAACTGTTTTAAATCGATCATTTAATTGTTTTAAAAATATAAATATAATGAATGTAATACACTGATTAATACACTGATTTTTCAATATATTTTTTACTGTAAGAACAATAAGAAATACTCATTATATATGCTCTGAAATGTAATGTATATTCATACCTTATCTATAGTGGTAACCTGTACCACTGCATAGCCTGAGAGTGCCAGCAGATTTTGCATCCTGGAAACATCTTATTTGTTCACAAGCCATTTTAGGTTTAACACTTTGAATGTTATTTCAAAATTTTATTCATTTTAGACTCTTAAAAGCGACAATATGTTATCCTGAGATTAGTGCTTGTCTTATAGTTATAAATTAATTTAAAAACTGTCTCAGGAACTTTAGTATTAGATTAGCAGGAAAGCTCAATTTTTGAATATTTCTGCCAGGAAACAAAAGAATTTTTAAAGGCCTGATGAATGTTAAGATGCATAGGAGGTCAGTCTGGTTAATCAATAAACCATATCTTGGTTGATATATTCCATTTAGAAATTTTGCAAGAAAAGAGTTGATAAATATGTGGAATTTGATACTGTCATTGTTTTTCTGGATATCATTCTCCATAAGATTCAAGCATACCGTCACCTGGTTTTCAATAAACCTCCAAAGGTACAGTAATACTGTTTAACATCTGATCATAGGAAACCCAATAAATATTTGAAATAATAAGCTTTACTCCAGTTGCACTTCACTCCATTTGCACTGTGAGGTCAGTGAGTCATAGTAAATAGCTTATATTATGCTTCGCCTTTGAAATCGCTATGTCACTGAACTCACAGGCAACTGGAGCGAAGCGCAACCGAAGTAAATTTTATTAGTTCAAATATTTATTGGCTTCCAGGTAATCATGTGATGGCGAGTACAACTTGGGAATAATAGTACAAGTGATGTTTGAAAATTCTGCAAAAATTTACGAGCCATGCACTGTTTCAAACTATCCGCCATTTTGTTTATTTTAGCAAAATCACTAAATGTACTGCTGTGCAATTAGCAAAATAATTGTAACATTCTCGACCAATCAGCATCCAGTTATTTTAGTGCCAGGACTGCCCTAATCATAAATACATATAACAGGCGATTTGAATGGCTAATACATGAGTAAAAAGAACAGAGAAACTGTGTCACAGCGATCACGGCTTTCAAAACTCTTGCTTAATGTTGAAAAATGTTTTGTTGCTGATCAACAAACTCAGCTATATATTTCTCTTGTTTGTTTTCCTCCCTTCTCTGGTATTTTCCTAAAATTCACAAAAGTAATGCGAGCAAGACTGGCCAGAGAACATCTTTTTTATAGTTTCTACTTGCAAACGGCGGTCAATCTAATTTATTCGTAATAACCTTTTTGCTTCACCGAATTGAAAACGAGGGCAGGACAATAACCCTCGAATACAAACGAAAAATAAATATGGCGGACATTACAACCGAAAATCGCTCTTTTGAACTTCATCAATGCTAGAACAAATATCAACTCGCTATATGGCTCGCTTATCAGCGTGTGATAAAAAAAATTGACAACTGCACTGAAAATTGTAGTGTGCTTTTCAAAATAGGCGTTTGCAGTACCCTATGATTTTATTCAGAAAGACGTGATAAGGATTTCAAGTCGCGTGCGAACGTTTTTGAAGTGTTTTAAATTATGTGATGTGAAATTGAAAAGATTATCATACCTGTCAGTTTAAGTACCGGAACTACAACCTCGACGATTGTTCGTTTTATACTGTCGCTTGTGTATTCTAAAAGCCCACTCACACTTACACATATTGAGTGGGTGATAATAATCGCCTCATAATTATTTCATCGCCGTATTTCAACTCAAATGAGAGCTCGATGTTAAATTTTGTTTTTAAACTCCCGCCATTGATTGAGAAACGAGAATGGACTCATTTATAGTGACTAACCAGAACGCAATCAATCAGTGCAAGCATGGGTAAGCTTTCAGATTTCAGAATACAAGCGTTTATATATGAATACAAATTATAAAATAACATGTACCGGGTGGCGCAAAAAAGTTAACCGGTTTGATTGAGTATAACTTCAAAATTAAAAGAGCTATTACACTAAAATTATGTTTTTTATATTCTCTAATGTCTAAATTAAATTTTGATTTATAGCGTGAGGTTTTTCATGCAGTTTTGACCGAGATATCGCAGTTTCAATTTAAATATGCATTTTCGAAAAGTGTAAAAATTAGCTAAAAATGGCATATTAAAGTTAACTGACAAATCCTAGTATTTTATCGCACGTATTCGTCTGTTTCAATGACGTTTGAATAGAAACATTTGACAGATGGATATGGTCTTTTTATCTTCTGTGTTATGATATGCTGGAAAGCATTAAAGCAAAAATTGGCTATTTTGGTTTAGACTTTGTTCCAAATATTTCATGTTCCTTGGGGGATGAAATTCGTTCGGTACTGGTAGCGCACAAGTTTAACAAATAATTTCGCATGAATTTTGCTTGTTCTTTTCTTAATATGCCTCGTCTAACGATACAACCGCGAATTTGGGTGTGCACAGAATATGCCAGGGTTAGCTAACAATGCTCAAGAAGCCTTACGAGGAAAAACGTTGAAAACGAACGTGAACGATTATTATACTTTCTTATTTAATATACCATTTTTGACTAATTTTTGCACTTGTCAAAAACACGTATTAAAAGTGAAACGCCGATATCTCATGGAATATGGTATATACCAAAGTTTAAGTTAGACATTCACGAATGTAAAGAAAGTTATTTCAGTGTAACAGGCCTTTTAGTTTTGAAGTTATACTCGATCAAACAGGTTAACTTTTTCTGATTGGTCGAAGGCCTTGTTTGGATCAGGCCAAACACGGAAATTTAATTCGCTTTTTAAAATCGAACTTGGAAGACTACCTTTGTTGTTGTTATTTTATAAAACAATTATTTAATCATTTCCCGTGTTTGGATGGCCTGGGCCTGATCCAAACACCTCGGAATGATGCGAGAATAATGGTAAAAAAGGTCGCAAATTCACTCGCGCTTTTCTTAAATCTCGCAACATTCCCGCGTGTTTGGATCAGGCCATCCGAGCACGAAAACCATTTAGTAATTGTTCAATGAGATAGCTGTGTACGTTGCATCAAATGTGGTCAGTGGCCTAACTAGAACGATAATTGTTTGTTTTTTTGGGGGGGGGGGGCTTTTTTCATATATCACTTTCTGCCCGACGGATTTCTTTTGTAAGTGCAATAGCTTTTAATAGAAATTCGTCGGGCAGAACCGAGTCTATGAATAAACACTGCTCCCCTCCCCCCTAATTACCGTTCTATTTACGCCCCTGAATGTGGTAAAACAACGGCCTAAAATAGAAAAAGACACTTCTTAGGGGACATGTCGCAGAGCTATGCTAATGGTTGAAACAGAAATTAATGTATTGTAAAGTTCAGCCAATGAAAAGAGAGACCGAGAGAGAAGGGCCGAGAGAAAAGTGTTTTTGCGTATATAAAGAAGACGTTGCGACGCTGTTCCCTGGTTGTACAACGACGTGTTCAAGGCGAAAAATTGACCCATCATGAGTTCATTAACGACATAGTTTTCAAATTAAATATTTGTCTAAGCTAAGAAAAAAAAAGTTGAAGTTTATGCAAATCAGCACAAATGTAGCTATATGCGTCACAAACATGATCGAAATAAGCATTCATCATTCTTGAAATTTTCTCTTCGCTTATAGGGATTTTGAGTACATTGTGCCTTACCTGAATACATTCGTATTATATATATATATATATATATATATATATATATATATATATATATATATATATATATATATATATATATATATACACCCATTTGCAAAAACGTTGGCCGCAGATAGATAGATAGATAGATTACACAACATATGCAATTATAATTAGATTTCGAGTATCTATCTATCTATCTATCTGCGGCCAACGTTTTTGCAAATGGGTGTATATATATATATATATATATATATATATATATAATATTATATATATATATATATAATATATCCATACTGATTCCCAAGAAAAATATTACCGTGGACTGTTTTTTGTTTGCCATCCAATTCACTTATAAACCCGTGCCGTTCACGAGGATGAAACACATGTCAATTTGACACTAAAGATTTCGTTAATTTTATTCGAGTCTAGTTCATGAAATTGATACATTGAAGTGTCATGTTTTTAGTTATCTCGGCAATTATCTTCATACAACTTTTAAATTAAATATTGCAAAAATATCAAACTAAATAGCTAATTCGTGGAATTTAATAATTATATATTATTTTTTATGACTTTCCTTATTTTAATATATCATTCGTTGTTCACACGCAGGTGGTCGTCTTCAATAAGACAGCGCTACAAATGATTGCTCATAAAGTTTTCTTCCTATATAGACCATAAATACTTTATGTAGATAACGTCGATCGTTTTGTCCTGTGGTGAGCATATAAACGTGGAAATGGACACTGAAAATGTGACATATTCGTTGCAATCCTACCTCACTGGAAATGAACGAACAATTTTAACTGGACTATTTGCGGTGTTGAGCATATTTGGCTTGTTTGGAAACGGAATTGTTGTTTACGTTGTAATTTCTCTTCGACATTACCTTGACGTTCCTGCTAATATATTTATTCTCAGTCAAGCGTTTACAGACTTTGGGACAGCATTATCTCTGCTTATTTATATAGTGCATATGTATGTCTGGATTTGGGACGTATTCTTTTGGTACACGGCCGTTGTTTGGTTGGCTTCTTTAGGGAGTTTATTCTTGCTTACTTTAAACCGTCTGCTTTCGGTGATTGATCCATTCGCCTATCCACGACGGATGACAGCAACACGAGCAAGAGGATTGGTAGTTTTGAACTGGATGTTGGCATTAGTTGTCACAGTGTATCCATTACTGATACCCGGGGGTTCACTGGATACTAGTCTTGGTCGGTACTACATTGTTATAACAACTACATGTGTAATACTTTTTAACCTGTACCTGTTTCGCGAGGGGAGAATTCAAAGTAGAAAAATCAAGCGGCAAAGTCAAATCGTGACAGGCTTGCAGGTACTTGTATGCCAATTATTATTATATTGTTATTTCCCCATTACAAGGTTTTTAATGTAAAAGTTGTGGAATTAGAAAAACATTTATTCAGGTACTACTTAGACAAGATAAAAAATCCGAGGTCTCTTTGACTCTATCAAAGTGGACAAGTTTAGAAAATACTTTAATGATATTTTATATTACACTGGGGGCAGTTGTGATTCTTCCCAAGGGTGAAATTTTGCTCCTCGAAATTTCCCTACAATTCGAGACGACTTTGTATCTTCATAGAGGAGATATGATCAAATAAAGGCCTCTTCTGAAAACAAATATAGAAGAATTGCTTCCAATATCAAGAAACGTTTTATTTTAAAGTGAACTGACCGTATGAAACGATATTTTTAATGGTGGAAAAAACTTTCAGTAGACTTCAGTAAAATGCACAGCAATTTCCATAACACGGCATAATGAGTCCTTACGTTACCTGCTTTATTTGCCAATAAGTTTACCAAAGCTGTTTAAACATTCTTTTATTCCTAATAAACTTGTACAAGCAAAATACGTTCGAGAAATTGTAAGAAAACTGTCAGGAGAAGTTTACAATAATTTAAAAACTTCTCTTCAGAGAATAATAAGTTAGGGTGGACATTTTACTGTGTACAGTTCACGAGGTTTATTGCAATTCTAGATAAAAGACCAAACGATGATTTTTGTTGTATGCTACTATTGACAGAAATACTTCAAAGAAGATTTCAAATCAGTTCGTACCCAGGCCATGGTTGGTGGAACGTTTTTGGTGTGTTGCCTCCCAATTACGGTGGTGGTCTTTATCTACGGAGATGACCAAACCTCTCGTGAGTTTCAAAGATATGCAGCGTTCACAGGAATGCTCATGCCTATCAATGCAATCCTCGATCCAGTGATATACTACTTCCGGAGTCGAGAGTTTCGTGCATTTTATCTGAAGTTCAAGAGATCTTGGCAATCCAATGATGCGAACTTTTCCAAATCTTTTAACCCACCCAAGAGTTTGCAACGGGTGTGCAGAGTCAAACCAGCTAAAATCGAAGTAACCGAATAATTGACGAGGAAAGATTCAAATACTGAATACTTCATGATATTTTTTGCAATCCGATTTAACCCGTGTGATTAGGGGATAATTTACTATTTTCTGTTATACATCTTTAATAAAGTTAAAACTCAAGTGAATGTTTAAAGTCAGTCCGGGCTCTTGCTATTGACGGTAGAACGTTCTTCGCCTGTGTCATGCTTCCCATTCACAACAGCAGCATTGACCTACCTAAAGTGCCCAAAGAAATGCGTCGTTTCCAAAGAACTCATAGGTATAAACTTACATGCACTATAAACCTTCAGAATCTCGTTTAGTAAAACAAATGCTACCCGATGTAGATAGCTTCCCATATTGCCAAGGAGCAGCGTCGCAGCGTCTTCTAACAACTTCACATTATGTATAAATGCGGTAATTAATATAACAATTGCCGAAAATAGACCAAGCTGGCACTTCTCGACGTTTCGACCTCGAGAGCCTTTGTCAAGAGAGTTATATTTATCATTAATTTTATAGACATGGAGTTAAGGGGATTCGGCAAAATATTTCCCTGATGTTATTTTTGCCGAATCCCCCGAGCCGGGGTCTATATATAAATGATATGTTACACCGAAAAAGTATATTGTGAGCTTGTAGAAGAGGCAAAAATACAGTACAAAGGTTCGCCGGAGCTGAGAATTATTTCTATATTCTGTAAATCAGTAAAAGTACTCGAAGAAGGCGAAAAAAAATTACCGTAAAACGTATTTTAACACTAGTCAATTTTTTCGTTTTCTGTATGTCTCTCGTCGAGAATACGGTTAATTTTCTCGTCAGAATCGTTAATTTCTTGTTTTCAAACAAACAGTAACACTATTCCCACCATTATTTTTAGTGATTGCGTGTAGTCCTCGCGAGACGTCGCGTGAGATAAATTTAATACCAGAGTGTGATAAATTTAATGTCACACCCCCATATATCATATATAATATATACTCTCATACCGTTTCAGACGTCAAACTCTCCATGTGTCCATTCGGTCCGAATGGAATGCAAATGGACTTTAACTCGTTCACATTAGGTTAGGCACAGGCAGTTGTCACACCACATTTGATGGGAATCACTACCGTACAGCGGCGTAGCCGATGCTGGCTACGCCACTGCTACCGTAGCTGAGCAAGCCGAAGCAAATGAAGGAATCTCCCAACTTGTCAGGCAAAATTTCAAAACAATATTGTAAATTTAGAATATGCGATGCCAGGCGTTGCAATTTTCATTGTTGATACGACACATTTGTTGATTTAATCATGCATGTCGCTATATTCATTTAATTTGACTGTCTTTAATATCTTCATTCATTCAATTTATTACTTTCGTTCTCATTTAATTTATTTTAAAATATTCATTAAATTTGATGAAATTATTTTGCAGCTGGTTCGATTTTTAATATATTTGTTTGAATAATTCCAATAATCATTCAATTTAATTTCCAAATTTTCACTTTCAACGTTTTAAAGTTAAAACATATTTACTGAATTTTATTTCTGCATATCATGTATTCAGTATTAATCAAAATTGATTAGATATAATAAATTTATTTGCGCATGCCCAAACAGCGGCGTGTTTAAGATATTGATCAAGATATTTTAGATTTACGCACCTCGGGCGGCTGAAATTTCCCCGAACTCACCTCGAATGTCGGTACATAATTTCTTGTTCAAAAAACGAACATTTTAGTTTCAAAACAAACAAACAGCGGTTCGAATTAAAGCTTATAAAAACGCTAAATACTCGCTTATTTTTGAAAGAGAAAATGCACAAATTAGGCGGAAACATTGCCAGTGTTTATGGATTTTGCCGAACATTTTTCGGCGGCCATCATCTATCAGCTTACCTGATAGCTTTTATCGAATTCTACCAAATTTATTTCAAAGCTTTTATCGAAATTTTCCGAAATTTGGTAGAATTCGATAAAGCTTTTTGATAAATTAGGTAGAATTCGATAAAGATTGGAAAAGGGTGATAAAAATTTGCCGAACTGTCATGCCCTATGGGCAGCTACCACCCCCCTGCCTGTCGATTAACATTTACCAACAACAAAGGCGTCGTCAGGGGGGAACATATATTTATATATTCCTGTTCTACATTGTTCACTTTTGATAACGATTGCTTTTACTGTCAATGAACATAAATACATGCATGAATAACCCCCCCCCCCTTCTCACCTTAACAATGTTGGTTACCCTAATGATTGTCCAATTAGCCCTTCTCCTACGCCTAATAACTCTGATTAACCTTTCCCCTACGTCTAATAACTCTGATTAAACCTTTCCCCTACGCCGAATAACTCTGATTAAGCCTTCCCCCACGCCTAATAACTCTGATTAACTCTTCCCCTACGTCTAATAACTCTGATTAACTCTTCCCCTACGCCTAATAACTCTGATTAACTCTTCCCCTACGTCTAATAACTCTAATTAACCCTTCCTCTACGCCTAATAACTCTGATGTACTCGTGAGATAAAGTTGTATCCCGAATAACAATTATATTTTTTATTTAATAGATTTATTGGCAGCTTGGGATAATCTATCTTCTTTGTGACTCTTGTATCCTATGTAAACTCGTATAACTATTGGCACTATTCAACATGGCCGCCAATATGGAATTTAATGAATAGATTTTGAGAATGAAGTATTCTTAATGAAGTCGGGATTAAAAATTGTGTCAAATTAGGCGGCTTTAAATCTCGTGGTTTTAACATTGGCTATGAAGCAAACAAAAATGTTATAGGTTCAGGCCTAGCGAAAGGCACAAACTAACGATTATATTCTTTCTCGGTGGTAAAGGTTCATGTGGCAGACATAAACAATTAATAAAGCAAAGCTTAGTTTTTTTATGTACTGCTATGACGTTTTGTGCCATGTTTCCATTCTCTATTCAATACCGCATTTTCAGTATGTATCATTGGTGCACTCTAAAAAATATACGATTTTGTTTTGAGATATTGATGTCTAAAAATTTAACCTATTATATCTTTAACCTATTCCATGATATCAAATGGTATAACGTGAAGCACAAAGGTTTTCACGAGTTTGGGACGATAACAGATTTTTCTGTACTCGAAATGCAGTTTTATTTCATGTTCTTTGTGTCATGTTTAGGTAAGAGTATTTGAAGCAGTAAATTTCTCTAAACATAACTGTTAATAATAATATGGTTGAATGAACCACTCCCCTATATTCAACTGAATTTAAAATTAGGAAAATTCATCAGTATAGCTTTAAAGAACAAGCTAAACTTAGTAAGTTTGGAAACTTTGGTTGGATTATATTGTAAAACCTTATTATTTTGATGGTGCTATACTCTGATTTTCTAACCGGGCAAGCTGACCCGAGTGGCACCGCGGTGTCAGAGTAGCACCATCAAAATGGTACTTCGTGTGCCTGAGTTATATGCAATAAGTTCAATAGGGGATTGGTCCTAAAGGCCTTTTTACACGGTGCAAATTTTCTTGAAACTTGCAATAGAATTCTTCTTTTAAGAGATGTAAATTTGGCTACTACCGAATTTTTGTCTTTATTACACCCCATGGCGTTTCTTACACTTACATTTTGGGAACTCGTCACTAATTTACATCTCTCAAAAGTAGAATTGCATTGCAAGTTTGCAAGAAAAATTGCACCGTGTAACATGGCCTTACGATATAGCCATGATATTTAATTGTCTTATCTAACTATTTATATTACAGAAACAATCGTTTTTCTCTCAGCAATTCTCGTGGCAATACAAACATTTGCGTACTGGACCAGTCTTGCAATTATTCCGAGGTAATTCTGAAGACCGGGTGACTTGATTTGCGATATTTCACGGTGCACTTTTCACTGTTACATCCCGTTTCTGTCAAATCGTATGTACTTTAGTGCCATCGACATTTTATTCTCTTTTTTCGCTTTAAATCTGCCTGTGAATAAATGACGTTGCACCAAGATGGCCGCCTCATGTCTAATTATCTAATTTTTAATACGTTTAAAAGTATGTTCAAAGAGATCTGTAAGCTTTATCTCTTTTCAACGACAAAAACAAAGACATTTTTGCTTCATAGTGAAGCTTTAAGTCGTGCCCAGTTATCAGCATCGTAGTCAACTTTCCAAAACGAGATGAAACTTCTACAAAGAGACATGGAAAGCTTTATCTCTTCGCTTTATCTCTTTTCTACTCAGCGCAAAACCTAGTAACTTGCAAGAAAGTGTTTGCATCTAAATAGAAAAGAATCTTCATCGGATGTAAACCCTCCCAGCGAGCTTGCAAGCTCGTCATTGCGATGCGTGAAGCGCTGTTGTCGACTTCTATGACATCATACGTGCCTGGTCGATTGCTATTACATCACTAGCTGATTCCGGGAAATGGTTTAAATCAAAAGTTTTTGCAGGATAACAGTAGCCTGTGTTGTACCATCATAGGTATGGTGATATTCTTCGAGTTCTATTGCTGTCCAGTTTTGGTAAACTTTTGGCATTCCCAGCCGTGATCTGGGGTCAAACACACAGTGCGGTCTATCTCGGGCTGACAAGATTGTTCATTTTTACTTCAAATATTGTTGCTTTTAAAGGTATAATATCAGATAAATTATCTCTACTCGCTACCTTATAATAATATATAATAATATAATAATTTATATAATAATAATTTAGCCGTACTTTGAAGGGGGGCTGTAACGAGTCACGCGGAAAGTAGGTTGTTTTGCGGGCTAAAATTTGAAATTTTTTTTAATTTTGACTCAAGGAAACCCGTTTTTGTATAACTCGTAACATGTCTTGCAAATTTTGAAAAGAACCAGAAATGTGAAATTTCTAAAGAGTGGGAGACAATCTGACTAGCCTCGCCTTCGTGTAACTTCAAGCCCCCTGCATGTCTCCGCATTGATCTATATTATTGGTGCAACGAAAATTGGATGCAGGGGCAAACATCCAGCCTCAACGATTACGTTATCGCCTTGCCCGAATTTAGGGACCGCCTGCCATGCAGTCTACCCCAACGATATAAGTCCCGTTCGCGTTTAGCATTTTCTTCTTTCGGTGGATGTGAACGAATGAATATTTGTAATGATGCATGTTTAGATAAGGGCGCTTTATTTGGGAGCTTTTACGTCGGAGAACTCACAAGTGACTCGTTCGCATCTATCAATAGAAAGAACTGAATCATTGCCGCTTAAAGGCCCACACAGACAGGACGCGAATTGGCAACGCGGCGCGAATTTTCAACGTTTTGTATTTTTCAAAAGCAAATAAATTTTAACGTATTAAGATTTTCTTGTAGATTACATAAAAGTAATAAATTTTGATTGGTCTAGCGTCCATAGATTCCAAATTTTGATCCCAGAGTTTAATTTATATGCTTCTGAAAACTGTAAATTCGCGCCGCGTTGCCGCTTTGCGTCTGGTCTGTGTCGGCCTTAAATTGCAAGCTGGTCGCGCCATGACGCGCAATCACCTCACAGGTGACTGAACAATCTGAACCACACATATGTGCATGTGATGAAATTTCTTCTTTTGGGATGTGAAATTTCTACTTTCGTCAGTTTCTTAATGTGTAGAAAAGAAGGTAAGCGACTGTTCTTTGAAATCACTTGAAAGGAACATAAAAATATTTACTCAGGTATCGGCGCGACTGCGAACCGACCAAGTTTCGTTTACTTTTTTTTGCTTTCACCATAGGAAGCCCTAGTTGGCGTGAAAATTTGAGCCGAAAAGGTTGTACTGAACACTGCCAAATCATTGTTTTCTTAATCTTTTTTAGTTCTTTTTGGCAAGATAATTCCTGCAATATTCATTGTGACCTTTGGCAATGGACTGATGTACAGTTTTATAGCTGGATATAGGACACTAGAACTTCAGGAATATATTGTTCGATGATGCCCCGAACGATGAAACTAATTCAAAGACTTATATGGCATTGTATTGGCAATCAAAATTAACATTTTATTATTTAGCTATAAATAAGCTATTATTTGAAAGAGCTGAATGTAACATAATAAGTTCTTTTTTCAGAATTGCTATGACAGTCTATATGTCGTTCTTTGTTCATGGAATATTTTGGCTGAAATCAACGAACTGTCCACCATCTTCAGTTCCTGGCTTTAAAGTAGCCTCATTAACCAAAATTTTGAAAGCATAAAAATTCTTTATCCAATTGCACGAAAGCTTCCGAGCACTGTGACATGTCCCCGACACCTCCATAGTTCACCCTGTCATGATATTAGTCTTTGAAGTCCAAAATAAAATTGTTGTTGGACCCCCGCAAGCGACGTAACTTGCATAAATTGCGGTGCCCGCGCCAAGTTTGGCACCGCATTATATTCTGCCTGTGAGTTTGTTTGTTCGCATCAATACGTTTCCTTAATCGCCAAGTAAAAATTCCTTGCACATACTTGGAATGCTTGGAATTTTTTCCTAATTATTACTATTAATCTTGTTGTACGTTTGGCAAATTCCTTTTTTAAAGGAACGTTCTTTTTTCAATTTCAATCTCAAACTCTGATAATTGCGTGTATCTCTGCTTTTATGCACCCAAGAAGAACAAAAATACCACCATTCGATTCAGCGTAAGAAATTATACTTACAGGTCTTAAATATATTACTAAACAAGAGTATTCGCAGCGATTTATGACGTTTGAAAGACAAACGAAATTGAATTGTTGACAAATCGCTCAAAATTACTATGCTATACTTTACTAGTAATAGTAAGTTTGGTCTTTGATATCTTTCATATCGTTGGTTTTCTCTTTTAATTTCGTCCTTAAATAAGTGGATCGGTCTTACATTGCGATTTATTTTATAGTACTTTGAGCCAAATATATTCTATTTCGAAGGTTTTAAAGTATAGTTTCAATAAGCGAACTTTTTGACAAATCGCTCAAAATTATTAAACAAATTAAAAATGCAGTACGCTTAATCCTTGACTTACGTCTAGTTTCGCTCACGTTTATTCGTCTCACGTTTCTCTTCATTTTGATAGTATTCTTAGATAGTATTTTTAGCCTAAATATTTTATTTCTGAAGATTTTAAAACGGCGCAATTTTGACCTTAATGTACCAACCAACCAGGCTGCGGCCGACAGGAGAATGTAAGTTGGTGATGTCGTTAGAAATAAGCGGACGTTTTATTTCTAGACAAGCATTGCGGGCACCGCATTTTAGTACTGTGTCTGGTTACTTGTTGTAATTCAGATGGCGGTTCGCTTTCAGACGAAATATTGCATCAGGCACAGAGACGCCGGAAGCAGTTCACGGCAGTAGTTCCGGCGCCCCCGTTGAACAAGTACTGTATGCAAACACGCATGCCAGCGTGGGCCGTGGAGCGTAGGTAGAAGAGCCTGGCCTGCGAGGTTGGCACTGTATGATCTCGCTGCGAGTAATTTCGTTTAATCACAATGCTTGACAGTTTATTTTAATTAGATCGATGCAAACACTCGCAGCGAGTGGGAAAGAGCCTTAAGATTAAATATATTTTATTGCCTGTACTCGTAGGCATACGACATGAGCCCCGTTTACACTACACTCAATTTATTGGCACGGCACGGCTAAAATGGGTACGCGTGCCCAATTTTTAGTGCTCACTGTTCAGGCTATCAATACAAAGGCTGGGCACGAATAAAAAAGGCACGGGTACCCATTTTAGCCGTGCCGTGCCGATAAATCGAGTGTAGTGTAAACAGGGCTATGGAGTCGCCTTCCCAAAAGGCTGTTAAATAGGAAGCTATCTTCACTTCTGGAATGTTTGTCTTTTATGAAACCAATATGAGGACCCAAATGTGCATGTTTAGTTAATTCAGTTAAGATTGCGTGCATTATTGGCAGAAACGAATTAAAAGAAGGAAACTTGTTTGAAGACACGGCCATGGGTTTGGAAGACAACTATATATCGCTCGCGCTATTTCGCATAAATTGATTGCTGTGCAGATATAGCCAGTGATTACTGTCGCTTTAGTACGAATAGTTCAAGAACCGACATTTTTTCATCAATGTTTTTTGAAAAAACCTCACAGGCACAAAGGTGTACAACTCACTCCCCCCTGCCGTACACACCCTTTACCCAATGGCCAGCTGGTATTCTATTGTAACTGTGGTAGGGGGGGGGGGTGCAGTCGGGGTCGTTTGAAGAGAGTCAGAATCACAGGATAAACAATTGATACTGTTTTAATTAATGCTTCAAACCATTAGATTTAAATATCATATTATTAACTAAAACTATATCTTATATAGTTCACAACGAGTGGACGAAATCGTTGCTGTTCACTCGAGCTTGCATTACCTTATACAAAATATTTTTGTCAATAGTAATTAAAAATACTAATGAATGGAATCTAGAATGCATATGTCTATTACTATATTGTATCAATTATCGTTTCAATCTTAAATACGGGTCACTAACCCCTAGTGTTATACATCGGACACTAACACTTGTATAAATTAAACAATAGTCAATACGTTTTTCAATTGTTAAAGAAACTAATGTTTTTTCAAATTACGTTTTTTCTATTAGGCCTAGTTTTCGCTTTAAACATGGAGTAAGGATTAATTCCAATTCTTGAATACGTCGTCGAAATCGACATCTATCAGCAGCTGCTAATTCCCAGTGTCCCTTTCGAGCCTCACGGTAAGCGAAGTCCCAATGTCTCATCTCGTAGACAACAACAAGATCATCGTCTCTTTCAAAGCAAACTTTTTTTCTGGATTTTTTCTTTCCCGTTGTTTTCCCGGTGACGACACAACAATCAGTATTGGACGAAACATTCACCTTTAATTTTGCAGATTTCTCAGTCGTGACAAAAGCATCGAAACAGTTTGTTGTTTGTAATTCTATAGGATAGGTCTTTTCAGGATAGGGCTTATCAGATGTGACTTGGCTAGTTGAACAACAATTCGAGTCTAAGCAACCCTCGGCCTTATAAGATTCATGATTCAATGCATCAGATTCATGGCTTTTACTGTTAGTATTGGGCGAAATGTCTATTTTTACAGACATAGAAGATTCTGTGATTAGTTTTCTGGGGCACATAGAGTGTGGTGTAATTGGTGAAGTATTCAGGCATATATCCAGACAAGTCGTAGAATTCGCGCCAACGCAGCATGATAGCTTTGTTGGAGTACAAGGGTTTTTTAGAATTAAATTGAAGTCATAAGCTGCATCATCGTCCAAAGTATCTTCTTCAAAGACAATAAAATCGTCATCTGCGCAGTTATCGTTGGAATTCCCAGAGGATTTGTCGCTAAACATTGAATCATAACTGAACATCGAATCGCATTCCCCGAATGTCGAGAATCTGTAATCCTCGCAAAGAGGCATTTGCCTCAAAGGATCACTTATGTCAATGAAGAAGCATATGGACTTATTATAAACCATTTCACTTTTCAAGGTGCTGTCGATAGAACAACATTCCTGGTTGTCAGCCATGGTTACTCTTGTTCTGAAATACAAAGCGTCCACGTCGATTTGTGTGCGTGCGCTGAACGCGAATGGTGTATCCTCAATACCACTGTCCAGTCTTTGAAAAATAAGTTTATCAAAGCCCAGAGTTCGCTCTTGAGACCGCTTGAAACAATCTACCGGAGATTGCAATTTGGTTTTTATTCGTAAACTAACCAAGTCGCCGGACTCCTGAACTTCCAAGTCTCTTTCGCACAACGGTCGGCAAGTTTGTTTATCAAAATTTGTCAGGCTGGTTTTCTCTGAAAAACTGTTTTCCTCGAACGAATTACTCTGGCTGTTTTCCTCTGTGATGTTTATTTCCGGAGTTGCATATCGGTATTGAAATAAACTGTCAAGTCTTTGCCATAAGTTCAACATGGTAGAACTGTCCTTTTTATATTGATTTTGCAATCTTTTCGAAGCTAAAACACTAGGAACGTCCACAGAAGTAAAATAATGAAATATTTTTGGTGCCAGTCTGGGCTGGTCCATTTTTTCTGCAATATTTTCATTTATTGCATTATTATTTTCGGGTAAATACCCACTTTTTATGTAAGGTAAACTTGATAAATAGTTTCCCATAGTTTTTATGTTGAACACAACACTTGAATAGACTTGTTTGTTATTCAATGTACAAACTCAGCAAAATCCAACAACAGATCATTGCAAGTTTTGTTTTTGCTAAAGAATGAAAAAAAAATTATATCAATAAGGTTGACGCAGCACTTAAAATCTTCAAATCATGTTTATTGATGAATCATTGCAATTAAAGCCAAAATGTGGACAAGCATATAAATAACTATCAAATGTAACTAAAATAAAAAAGTTACTGGAGAAAAGTCAAAATTATCCCTGTTTAGTCAGTTTTGTGAAAAGTACAATCTAAGCATATTTGATTTTCTGTTTAATCACCACTGTGATTTTGAACTGAGAAAACTCAATATGGAATTAGAAATTGCTGACGAGAGCCTAAAACTGCTGACAACTATTTTTGAAACTCTAGTTAAAACGTATGTTAAAACCCCATGAATTGACAAATAATGTGCATACATGTGACATATTTAGAATATACATAGCAAACTCCAGCATAATAATGTAAGCAAAATACTTGGATTAAGAATCGAATTATGATACTTATAATTATAAATTATTGAACATGATATATATACTGGTACAATTAAGCTTTAGACACAATTTGTCACTTAGGTTACAAATTTTTGAAGCATTAACAAAATAAAGCCACAAGTTTGTCCATAGAAGAGCCCCTGGTTCGAAAATTGGTAGAGATCAAGGCATTGATAAAACTGATTGGCCCCAAGGCTCTGTCTAACATGTGAATGTGACTTGACCTAAATATTATTCAACTATTTTATGCCTCTACTTAATAATTATGTTAATTTTACATTTTTACCTATAGAAAACCTCTCTTGTAAATGTGGTTATGAAATCCAAATACCTTTTTAGTCACTCAGCTGCCCATGTGAACAAATACTCAATCACAGAACTACACAAATATATGGTTGCCAATAATATGATCATACACCATTTCTATGTCTCAAAGGGGAAATTGAGCAGTTGCTATTTAAAAATATGCAAAGTTTTGTTATTAGTTTTCCTAGTAAAGCCTTCTTTGAATTGGGGCCAAAGTCTTGCATGTCACATGGGCATACTAATCAGCATAGGTTCAGGCAAGCCAAGGTTACAAAATTAAGAATTAAAATAACTCTTTGTTATGTATAAAGTGGCACTTATGTAGAATATAAAGGAACCGTACAGTTAAACATACAAGCTTCGAATACAGCCATATACAGATTATTTTAATACTTTGAACATCTCATGTACTTATATAGCAATTTTACAACCACGCCTTTGATATATAATGATATTGATACTGACAGAAGATAAAATAAAGACAACACTTCAAACCCAAATAGGTTTTAAAACGTAGCTAACCTTTGTTGCCATATAATACTTATGAACAGCTGGCTCCCACGTTTCTTCGTGTGGCTTCGGTTGTATGATTGTAACACATTGATCGGTCCATTTGTCATACATGCCATGGAAATTTAACTCCGAAGATGAAAATATACTGTTCGCCATATTCGATTGACTAATATAATCCAGTTTATGAAACTCAAAAAAGACCCAACGACATGGTCTAGCTTTCAGGTAGTTTTCTCTTGTGTTTTTAAATAATGAATTCTGAGCACAAATTCTGACGAGATTTCTTTATATAGGAAGTTGAAAATGCAAGAATCTGAAGCGTGACTCAGCCTTAGCTTCCCGCTGAAGTCAATGACGTACTGGAGAAGCTGATGCAATGTCTTGCAGGGAAAACCCTTGGGAAACCCCTTGAGGAAAACGTGTGAATAGACATGTGGCAACAAAAAATCCCCGAACAGATTTTGAATCGTTCCTAACTCACGAAGCAACAGAAAGAACGAACTTTCTTATGAGAATAGATAATTCGCGTGAATGTAATTTGAAATAAAAATGATGATGTAAGCGAAATTCTTAACCCACTACAACTTGGTGGGTGTTGAATAGATCAAAACAGCTCTCGCGCGAAATTTAGGTCTTTAAAAAAATGCCCACTTGGAAACTGGAAATACAAACTTGCATTTCCAGTTTCCAAGTACAAACAATAAATGCATTCGTTCACTGTATTGTACGCACAAATTGTGGACGTGCGGTCACGGTGCAGTATAGCCTAGTGGCGAAATATTACACGATCCAAATCATCCAATCTAGACTTATCTAGTCCAAATTTAAAAACCTTTATAACAATTCAACGCTGCTCGTTAATTATTCATTTCTAAATAATTTTTCGTATAATTTATCCTACTGGCCAGACAGTAGCCTAATCAGCCTGAAGATTTTGTCCAGCTATGCTAATATTTTGGACTTTGGTGTTTATTCACTTCTTTTGATCATGACTGTGAGGCAACCAATTTCTATTTCATAAGAATAGAATAGAAAAGAAGAATGAAAAATTGATAACTTAATGCTAGTGTGTGCTATATACTAGTGTGTACGGCGCAACCTGTCCTAGGAGCAATAATAGAATACCCGTATTTTCACTATTTTGCAAACCCAACAAATTTGGAAATTACATAATCTTTTTAAAAAAGAATGTTAAAATCACCCGAACATTTCAGCTTTTGCCTTCCATTGACTTGATGTCGTTCAAAGTGGGATTTTTCGACATGCACTTCTCAGAAGCATGTCATAATGGCATAGAAAAATTAGAAATAATCAAATAAATTCGGATTTCCAAGAAGACATGAATAGCATATTACCACTTCCGGTAAAAAAGGACATTGACCCCACTCAAATCACTATGAAAACAAATCGTGAAACCCACCAATCACCACTGAGCAAACAAAAATTAAACCACAAATAAAACGCTGAGGGGAAACCCAACCGGTCGGAAACTTTCGTGGATTGCCGTTAAGGACTCTTATCGCGGGAAAATAAAGTATGGCGAATAAAGTCAATAAACAATATTAGACAGTGAAAGGATTGAATGCATATTTTGCGTGGTATTCTTTTATCTGGTTGTATCTAAGTAACAAAAAATGTAAGACTTTCTATCGCTCTTCCGTAGCATGTAAATGAGGAAAATTAAAAAGTAAAGTGTGTTCTAAGATGTAGAATTCCAATTTCTAATTGCATTCTGCTACATGTGTTAATAACATTTCATGATTTAATTTAAATAATCCTTCTCACTTGGCTTATATACTACTACAGCCATAAAAACACAATAATAGCTAGCCCTGCGTTAAATAATTAACGATGTTCCCGCTTGAGTGGCGATTTATAATACTTTAGCATTCAGCAAGTTTTATTATTTATTTCTCATTTGCTTATTTCATGTACTACAAAGTATTAAACTAGATTGACTGCAGCCACTTATTTTAAACTGCTATCTTGCACCACAATTTAAAACGTTATCCTGTGTATACTCATCTTTTCATTTAATATCCACAGAATGGAATGGGTTTTGGGGATTCAACCTTGTAATCCTGAAATTGTTTCAGTGGGGTTAGGCCTGCATGTCCTTGAGTTGGTCATCATCACTCATACTAAGGACAGGAAGGGGGAGAAGTGAATAGCATAACTCAGAACTTGCAAGGCAAAATTTACACATTTGTGTCTCGGTTAATGAATACCGCTAGACAAATTTTGATTTAACTTTAAAATTAACCTTCCTATTAGCTTAGACAAGACGTTAATGGTTTATATTAAAATCACAAAATGAGTTGGTCTTGGATGGGTGCAGATGATGGTGATGGAAATGCTGAGGAAAATGAAGGTGGAAATGAGATGGTAAGATTGGTAACAAAATATCATTACAATGCTTTGTGTAGTCACAAAAACTTGCCTTTATTTTACTAGAATCCATAATTTAGTGGTTTCATAATTAGAGAAATTTTCTCCAACATGAACACTATTTTTAAGAGAGGACTATAAGAGGAATTCATATGAGCATATCACTATATGCATGTAACTAAATTTATTGCCTATACCTGTTGCTCATACTGTATGACATTTGCTTAATTTATCTATATTATATTGGATAAAGCTTTCCTTATAGTCTTACAAATGTTGGAACTTGACTTGACTGATATGGTGGTAATTAGTAACCTTTTCCCATATGCCTTAGTTTGGTCCCAACAATATTTACTCTTCTATAATTCTCCATACTTTTTGAGAAGGAAAAGAGTGTCAAAATGTCTTCATGATATATAAAGAATGATATTAAGGATGAGGATTAGGTCGATGAACGAGAAGAACAGAAATATACAGAGAAATAGTATAGAGTATACCTCAGTACCAGTATATACTAATGCCCGGACAAAAAATCAAAGCTGTAGAAAGAGGAAAGAATCAAGGAATATTGAAGAATATACATGCATCATTGTTAATTTCTTCGTTTTAACTCACTACCATGCAATTCATTCATGCAGATGACTGATGTGCTCTTCTTAAGTATTTTACTTTCCATAATGCCAGATGAACAAGATGATATTATATTTGTCAGTGGAAGAGTTCTGCCAGTTAATGAGTTAATCAGCTGACATCTTGGTGGAGTAAAATCAATGACATGGGTCAATTCAGTGAACTCTAAAAAGACTAGAACGATAACTTGGCCGCCATCTTTGAAGCTGATGGCCGCCATGAAGGCCAAGAGTTGAAATTACACCACCAAAACAACGCCGGACAACAACTCAAATAAAAATTGCACTTTTCTGGCATTTTTTTGCCAAAAAATACGATTTTTACGGAATTCTCACTCTCCCCAGTTCTTTTGAAGGCTTGATTTGCTCGCGCGGCTGCCGCCTTAATCAGCAAATTATATTCAAATCGGCTTCATCCAATGACTAGTCTTTATTGTTGAGTTATCGTTCCAGTCTTATTAGAGTTCACTGGGTCAATTAGACCCTGGCCATTGCAACTTGTTTACCCACAGATTATGTTTGCCTATGTTTGATTATGTCAGACTATTAGACCTCTAATGAAATTTTTTGATTGTTGATTTCATTTGTTTGTATTTTCATAGGGGTACTGGGGCAATAAAGATAGCCTGATATTTCTCATTGATTGTTCAAAGTCCATGTTTGAAGGTGCCAAAGATGAGAAACCATTTCAGCTTTGCTTGAAGGTACTGTATTGATTAGACACCAAACAAGTGTGACACTGTTTACTCCAACACATCATGACTCTCAATACATTGGTTCTGTTTATAATGACTGAATAATATGTAATTATCTTGGACTAGTATGTACAAATACATATATTTTATGTCCTATGCAGTGCGCAGCATGTACAATGAAGAATAAGATAATTGGAAGTGAAAAGGATTTCTTTGGGATTGTTTTCTTTGGAACAGTAAGTGTCAACAGATCACACTGTGTCCAAAGGGTTTCTATATAACCTGCAGTGCATACTCAATGGTTATACACATGTACATAGTATAGAGAGTGAGAAGGTTAGCGCTGCAGGCTAAAAGATGTCATGCAGTTAAAACATTGCAGGTCAATAGCGAGCGTTAATTTTACTACAGGTACAATAAAAGACAAAATATACTGCAATTATACAAGTTTTTTTGAAGGTAGTAGCTGGGGCGGGAAGGAGCTAGGATCCTACTTCTCTGGGGCCAGTTGTTCAAAGCTAGGTAACCAATGCTGGTTAGTGCTAAGATTTTGATCCAGTACTTGTTTTAGTGTATGACTTTTTATGTGCTGCTGAACCACTATTCGTTTTAAAACTTTGGAAAATAAGACTTCTATCAGTCCCGAAGATATACATGAAAAAAGATATTCAATTTTGTGAACAAGCGATTAGAAAAATATAAAGATTTTCTTTAACTCATAGTTAAACTTACCGGCTTTTGAACAACCGGTTCCTGAAGGGAAAAAAATTGGAAAATCAAACAAGCAGGTTTCCTGCCCGTTTTGTGTCACAGCAACCCCTTGAACAGGCATTTATTTTTGTGGTGACAATATCACGACCATTTTTTGCTTCTTAAATGTTCTCTCACTAATTTCAGGAGAAGGACCAGAACCCTAGTAATTTCAAGAATATATACATATATCAGGTTTGACAGATAAGATACATCATTAACCCTTTTTTATATGGCATATCTGCAAAAGTGATGCAATATTTTTTTGCTTTTATGAAATGCCTATCAGGCTACAGTCGCTACTATAATATACGAATTCATGCGTTTGTTTCGAGCTGTACCATATTATAATATCCTTCTATTAACTTCACTTGAAAAATTCTAACTAAGGGGATGTTTACATGAACATGATCCCGCTTAACCGAGATTCAACGAATCGTCAGGGGATTTTGAAGTGTTGAAATGAGAATATACAACGTTTCTGGTAATCGCGTTTAGTCATCCTAACAGTAGCATGTGCTTGTTTGATGTCACTTTCAATGCCTCAAAGTCATCTCACGCTTCGTTTAATCTCGGCTGCGGATCTTGTAAGCACAAACAGCCCCTAAGATATACGTGTATAGTTGATTCGTGACTAACCCACCTAAATTGTAGGACCTTGATATGTTGGATGCACAGAAAATTCTGGACGTAGAAGATCTTCTGAAAGGTTTGATATCCTTGAGTTTTCTTCAAGCTGTATTTTTTATTTCTCTGACTCGCCTAAAAAATTTTACACTTAAAATTAAAGTTAAGGTTGAGTTATTGTCAGGAAAAGTATGTTTACAAATAATTGCGCATTGGTTCCTGATACGAATTATCACCATTACTCGTCAGGGTTCATTTGGCTTTGAATTTGGCTTACGTAGCTATTCTTTCTCTTAAATGAGTTAAATGGAATTTTATCGCTTTGAACTCTAGATTGTGATAGCTTCCAAGATAAATATGGTCACAGTTCTGATTTTTCTCTCAATGACGTTTTATGGACGTGTTCTAATATGTTTTCCAACAGGTAACTTCCCCCCCCCCCCCTTACCTCGTTCATTAAGAGCATGGGCCAAGGGATGATTCATCTCTGCTGAACAATATCTTTGTTAGTATAGGATGTATAACCAATTTATTTATGTCTCAAACCTTGCAGTGCTATGAGGAATGGACATAAAAGAATATTATTATTTACAAACAATGACGACCCCCACAAGAACAACCAGTCTCTACAGGTAAATTACCAGCCTCGTACCCAGGCGCTTTAATAGTTAAATAAATAACGTTGCATTCAGCTATTGTATAGAGGTCAGCTGAAAAAAGCAAGCGTGCGGGGTTGTTTGGATGAGTTTGATTTAGCAGGTTATAGCACACCCTCGCGTTCGTTTCTTCTCAGCTGACGGATGTTTTTCCACAAAAGCACCTGGGTACGAGGCTATATACTTGGTATATGCGATATTTTCGAGCTGCGGCTGATTTTTACAGGGTTTGTACAAAACGTGAATGTTGTTAAATTTAAAATCAACAATTCTAGGCCTTGACAGTCATTGAATTCATGGAGAAATGCTTCAGTGAGACTTCTTGAATTCTAAAAACTAGAAATACATGCATGCAGCAACCCCTCGCCATTTCAAACGAAGCAAAATTATCGTATTATCATGTATTACCAGAATTGTAACTAAAGATTATTTTTGTGTCCTCAAATTTTCCCCAAATGTACACGTCATGCACACGCCACGACACTTGCTGGAAACATGGCCGCCTGTGATTTTTTTACTATTTCTGCCGCTTTAGTAGTAATTTGTTGGCTTTTAATTGATTTAAATTAATCAATTTATTTTGAAATGAATTTTTATCTCCGCAAATGCCAAAACATTAGTGAAATATGCCACACGACAGAGAGCATAAAAACAATGACGTAATGACAAATGAAGAATATCATTGCTGTTCCTTTTCACCGCTAACTTTTCAAGTTCTGATGATAGTTGAATATCTTTCCAGTGTTAATATAATTTGATTCACAATTCATATTATGTTTACGAAACTGCTGTGTTTCATATTGTGTTTACGAAATATTGTGTTTTTTAAAAAAATAGTTTGCAAAATGACAGTTAAATTGCTGACGTTTTTCCTCGAAATACAAACGTTTTTTTTCGCCAATCTTCAAGTTGCTAATAACCAGTCTTTACTCGTTCAAATTTTGCGCATGCGCACAAGTACCATGACCATTCAACGTCCCCAACGTCCACGGTCCATGACATAGAATTTGGGTAACTTTTGGGTGTAATTCCTTATCTCCGGGCGGAATTAGTACCCTCACACAGCGCTCCGCGCCGGGTCGGGAATTAGAGTCTGATTGAATGTTAATATTCTCAATTTTCGTAAAACAATTTTCCAAGTTCTTTGACTTATTAATTTTATATTTCTTGCTCTACATTCACCTTTCAATCAACTGAAGGTCATTATACTGTTGCCTTTGAAGTATTTCTTTGAAAGTCATTGCAAAGTGCTTAAATATTAATACTTTTGCAGTGTACAAGCCCCCCTATTCGCAGTGCTATATTTTCTCTTTTCTGTTTAGAGACAAGCAAAAACAAAGGCTACGGTATATCTTTTTATATAATTTATTAGTGAACTTAAGCAAGTGACGTTTTTGACAACACGTACGTTGACCGGAAGTAAAGTTTTTGTTTTCCACCAATCACAATCCTTGACCCAGTCTTTTGACGTTACTCATGCCGTTTCTGTTGTCAAAAACTTCACTTGCTTTTTAAGCCCACTAATATTGACTGCTGTGAAACACGCAATCTGATTGGTTAATTGCCGTGCAGAACTGGGCGTAGTGTAGATAGGGTTTAAGGCTCGTGTATTATCCCGTTTTTCAAAAGTCGAGCAACATTTTTCGTGAATTGCTCTCAAAATGCTTACGAAAAATGGTTTGATAATCATTTATTAATCAAGTTTTAAACATTAAGTAACCTTGTTTTCGTTCCGTTCTCGGTGCTGAAGCTTAAACCGATTTTTTTTTCAGGATTTATTTGACGTTGGAATTGACATTGAGCTGATGCCGATTAAACCACGAATCGGACAATTTGATACAAGCTTGTTTTATGAGGTAAAGCAAGCCCGGTGAGGTTTTTTTTGATGAACTTATCATACGTGAACTTAGGAACCCTTCCACAAGCAACGTTCAAGCTTAGTTGTATGAGAGCCATATGACATCTGAATCACATTTCAGTTAGTTTAAGATACTGACGTCATGGAGCACCTCGACAAAACTAAGTTATGGGTTTGCATGGAGTCATTTGTCTCCGTTGTTCCCAGTGGTTCTTCCTACTAATAGTATGAAGGGCGTTAGATTTAATTTTTACTTTAAAATTCACTATAATATAAAGAAGAAGGCTTTTCATATAGAAATGTAGAATTACACAAAAGGGTTGAAGACTACATATATGAAATAAAAGTTTTTTGGCTTCCAATCCATTAGTGATGAACGTGATAAACCTTGTTGTTTGTATTCTGGAGGAACTGAGTTGGTTTACTTCTTCGTATATTTATTTCTCATCGTATATGCATTGGTTGGCTGGAATCAGTGAATATTATTGCTCATAATATAGCATATCGTTGGTGAAGTCGATGAAATAGACAGATCTACTATGCCAGATCCTGCTGAAAAATTTGAAGAACTTCTGACGAGGTTTGTTAGCTTCGTATTTTGAATATTTTACCCGGCAATTTACCATCATGCAGCCTGAGAACATTTCACATTTATGAAATATATTATTCATTATAATTATCAGCAGGAGCTATACACAGGCTATTTTTGTCAGTGATGTCCTCCTTCTGATATATGGGAAAGAGTAAATTCAACAGAGTACATTAATACGTCTAGTTTATACTTAGCAACGATTGCGTACCCATAATTTGGCAGACACTCAATAACATGCACCAGAAAGCGATCATTAACCGCCTGCGTTGCTTTGGCTTAAGGTGTCTCCCTACAGTTTCTTGAAATTTTTAGACGCACATTTTAAAATTTTCTATACCTATCAGGCAACATACCTCAAGCCAAAATCTATTCAGAACTTATGCTTGGCAGCCGTTGCTATAGCAACAGAGAGGTTTCAAAATGGCCGCCAAATAGAGTTATATTATATAAATATCCATAAACTGTAGGGAGCCACCTTAAGCTGTTATTACTTTACTTTCTTGATATTCAAAAAAAAAAAAAAGAGCAACGTGGTAATTACGGTCTTTTAGATCAGGCCATCCAAAAACGACATACCATACATGTTTTAGTACTAATGTTGAATCGCATTTTATATTCATAATATATAATAATGTTGCATCGAATAATGTTGCATATGACAACTAATTTAATATGACAACTACCTAAAATAAAATTGATTTTTGTTTCATGTTTCCAGAGTTCAGAAAAAACAATACAAGAAAAGGCCTCTTTGTAGAGTCCCCTTGCAGCTTGGAGGAGGCATTGGACTTGGTGTCTCAGTGTACGCGTTCTTAAATACAGTAACTCTTTCCGTCCATCTAACTACAGAATACGCATGAAAGTAATAAGAAACTTAGCTAATATTCTTTCTCTTTTCGCAAAATTTCCTAAATGTAACTAGACTGCCTGTGAATTGCTTATCATTTCTGCCCTTTTTTTTAGTGTTGGTTAAATAGGAGTCACTCTTTTGAAATATACATAAACGTCTATTAAATAATTTTTGAAGACATGTTAATTTTTTATGCCCATATAATTTCTAATTTTAAAAGCTCGTAAGTAATTATTAAAAAAATTCGAAAGCTTCCTCTTAACGCATGAGTGGATTCTTTTAAAATGAAATGTATTAGTTAAGTTACCCCAGTTCAGGCAACAGGTTCCTAGTACCCCTATTTTGTTCGATGAATTTTCGTGGGTGTTTGTGATTTTTTGGACTTTAGCGTTTTCAGGCAAGCATGATTTGCTTCATAAAACATGTAAACAACAAGAAATCTGTTGTAATCCTATACCTTAACCGTTGGCTAAATCCTAATTTAAATTCTTATATCCTAATATTATTCCCTATCCTAAACCGTAATCCTAATCTTAATCTTAATCTATTACCATTCAGGTTCAATTTGTGCCGCGCGGCAGTAAAGAGTTCCTATGTCAACCTCGACAGTCGTATTAATGAGGAAGTGAAGATTGTATCCAAGTTAGTTTGTAAGGTGGGGTTTGTATTTCGCCTGAACTTTTTGTAGTTTCAAAGATGGCTTTGCAGTGGTTTCTGCGCTCTGCTTATAGCAATCGGTATAGGCTACTTCAAGTAACATTGCCGAAATTTAGCATGGTTCTTATTTTTCTGAAATAAACTGCAGCTTATATTCATTTAGAACTATAACAAACCAAATTAGTGTTCAATATTTTCTACGCTGTGTCGATTATTTTTCATACAACCTGGATTATTGAGTTAATTAATCACGTAAGATTAATAATCAAGCTGTCTGATTGGGCAATTTAAAGTTGAGATGATATGTAGCTGATTTAAACCACTAGTCAACGTGATGTGAATAACTGTAGTATTTGTCCACTATAGACAACTGGCGTTGAGTTACTGCCGACAGATTTGAAGTATTTTCAGTGTTTTGGCGGTGATAAGGTACAGTACCAATGATGAAAAAATTTATTCCAATGAAAATAAATCCTGCGTGTAACTCTATAAACCGTATTGTTTGTTATAAGGTTGTGTTTGAGAAAGAAGAAGTTGATGCAATAAAATCTGCTGGTGACACTGGTAAGATCTCAAAAAAATTGTTCCAACCATTGAATAAGCCATTAAAATACAGATTTGCACGCCGTTAACAGTTATGAAAGAGAACCCCCAATTTAAGTAGGAAGATTATAAAGTTTATCCCGATTTTGTATAACTGGCTCGTAGGTAGTCTGGTGATGTTGAAAGTTTCACCTCCTGACAAACATGCCCATATTAGCTTGAAGCCAAAGTAGTTTTTCTAAAGACGGATTTCCACTTACAGCGAAATCGTTCGCCAGCGAAATATTTGCATATTTTCTTTTGAATTGAGAACAGTCAAGTCGAACTAATTTATTTATGCTGTTAAAATTCAAAAGAAAATATGCAAATATTTCGCTAGCGAACGATTTCGCTGTAAGTGGAAATCCGCCTTAAGTTATGAGCTGAAATTCCTGACGCCGGACGTTGGGCTGGGTGTCAAATTAAAGCTATTAAAAAGTTATATTTGGTGTGTAAATTTCAAGACAAAACTATAAAGGAAATATATAAAAAAAAACAATTACGAACCGCCAAAAAATCGGGAAATTTTCAAATATTTTATAGATATTTTCCTGTAAGCTAAAGTCTCGAAATTTCTACCCGAAATATAACTTTTTAATAGCTTTAATTTCATATACGGCTCAACATTTGGCGTCAAGTATTTCAGCTCATAACTGAGAAAAAGTGAAAAGCACTGGGGCTTCAACCCCCCCCCCCCTTAGTTATCATTCCAGTTTCTTGACAGTTCAATGGCTCACGAATTCCCGCTGACCACTCATTAATTATCCGAATTCAATTAAACTTCGTGTAACATCAAACTTCGTGTAACATCAAACTTTAAGTCTTTGAAAGGTCTATGTGAACTGACCTGTCACCATAAACGACATAATTTGAAACGTTACTTATATAGTGTTTCCCAGTTTACATCCCCCCCCCCCACCTTCTCTGTCTTGATCTCAGGATTGTCAAAATAACATTGTAGCTATTGATGTTTTTTAGGTTTAACGTTGCTGGGTTTCAAACCACGAAGTTTACTGAAACGATATCATCATATCAGACCAGCTCAATTCATTTATCCTGATGAGAAGGTGAATATTGCATATATCTAATCGCACAAATACGAAAACAACACAATAAACCCGGCGATCTAAAATGGCGGGAAAGGACTGTTACTAGTTGCCAAATAAAGATTTTAAATTGTCTACTGTTTTTGCAGTGTATGGTTGTTGAAAATCGTTTAATTTCTTATATTTTTATATATTATATCCGTTTAGTCAATTTCTGGAAGCAGTCGACTTTTTACAGCCTTGTTAAAGAAATGTTCATCGAAAGATTTAGTTGCTATTTGTCGTTTTATTCCTCGACGTGGTGCTTCGTTGAAACTGGTCGCTCTTATTCCACAGGTATCTATTGCGCTTATAACCGGGTAATATATCAAGGGTAATATCTTCTCTTGGGGGCAATAATCCATCTATTACCCCGAGCGAGAGGTCATACATAAGTGGCATGTTATGTACTTATTGTGTTTTATTGTACGTACATGTATTAACTGTGTATATTTACAGGAGGAAGAGTTGGACGAACAAAATGTTCAAGTGTCACCTCCCGGATTTCATCTCATTTTTCTTCCATTTGCTGACGATTTAAGAAAATTATCTTATGAAGATGCCCCTCGAGGTATTGCTTGCAGATTGGCCTTAACTGTTAGGGCGGGGCCTTAGGATGATGTTCATTTGAAAGTAATTCCGACACGATTATGCACCTCCTGTAAAGCCATTCTTGAATTTTTTCAGGAATTATTTCTAGAGTCATAACGAAATCAGATAATCGAACCATACCGAAATCCATAGCACAATTAGCGTATTTCTAGCCATTTTCTAAAGTTGAAATAAGACGACTTTTTTTAAATATTTGGTGCACCAGATTCCATTTTATTTTAAAGCTAATGACGATCAAGTGGAAAAAGCGAAAGACATAATTAAAGCTTTGACGAGCACATTTGATCCTTTGGATATTGAAAATCCATGTAAGTTGATCGTAAGTCAGCGAAAAATAAAAGAGAGTTTTAAGAAAATAGTATGATTTATAACCTCTGAGGCACGGCATGACACGGCACGGCAAGGTACGGCTAAGTTTGGTACCTACACCCAATTTTATTAGTGCTCAGGCAACCAATACAGATGCCGAGCACGAATGAAATGGGTGCGACTACGGATACCCATTTACGCCATTCTTTGCCGATAAATCGAATGAAATGTAAACCGGGCTTTAATTGACTTACGGCTGCGTATGGTCTCCTTTCACTGCTGAGTTTGACTCTAAATTTTGTGTCGTTTTCATTACCTAAACAAACTTGTTTATGCCCTTGATTAGTTAGCAAGTCTATGTAAACCTACCTGCACGTGAGCGGTTATATATCATAAAGCCTGGTTTCCATTTAATTGTAATTCTCGCGAACAAGTCAAGCTTGCTAATATGAAAATATTTTTCTAGTTTCGTGTGTGAATATTTCTATTTTAAAATTTCTCAACTATTTCTCATCGGTTAAAATTACTTGCTCACGACAATGGACAACCCCCATATTAAAGTAAATCCTGAACTAGGCCTAGGGAAATTCGTCGGTTCTGAGGTATACAGCCGGAAAGAGCATCCCAAAATTAGTAAAAGCAGAAAATTTGATTGCGAAATATTGTAAAGTGTGAAGAATATCAGCGTGTGAAGTTAGCAAATTTTGTTAAATTAGTATTACATTCGAAAAAGCTTTGCCACTTTTCGAAAAGTGCTAACCTCGCACGGCGATATTTTTTTGTAATTTTCAACATTTCGCAACCAAACGTTCGGATTTACTAAATTTGAGATGCTCTTTCCAGCTGTATACCTCAGAACCGATGAGTTTCCTCTGTTCAGGAGTTACTTTAATAGGGGAATGGTCCGTTGCGAATAATTATATGGAAATCAGGCTGGCTTAAGATGTGATTTAACTTGATTGTATTTCAGCCATACAGAAGCATTACAATATTCTTGAAGCTCTGGCGCTTGACAAAGATGCCCCAGAAAATTTCGAGGATTTCTCAGGTATTCTGCTCACTATCAGTGCTTTCTTTATTTAAAAAGGATATTTTGGTTTCAGTATCAGTGTAGTAACACAATTTTCATCATTACCGTGAGAATAAACTATTTTGAAAAGGGTGTATTTGATAAAAAATATCCAAGTTCATGACGATTTAGTCCCGCTATGCAAATTTTAAGTTATTACAAAGCTGAATTTAAACACAGGAAAAGTTTCCTCGGGACGGAACGCTGACGAATGTACGGAGGAAAATTCCAGAATGCAAAATTTTTCCCGTGGAAAAAGTGTAAATGACCTTAAAATAGTGGTTCTTTCGTCGGACAGAAATATTTCCGAATGAAATTTTAAAATTTGCTTTGTGTGTACAGCCTGGGATCGAGAATGAACGAGATATCTTCTCGCTAAACTAGTTGGCCCAGATTTTTTTGGTATCCTTGCACATCCGGCGTCTGTTTCACAACGGGAAGGTATAATCTTCTGATTTGAGTTTTTTCTTTATCGTTCTATTTTTTTGCGAGGTTTACCTTCATACACGAAATATCTGCTATCCCGTTTTTTTTTACATTCGCTCTCCTGAAGTGAAGGTCGTTAGGTCGAACAAATATAGTATAATTAACAATTAAACATTGAGCTGAAGTTGTATAATTATGAAATGTGACCAGAAGGGAGCAGTGTAACTGGATGAGAGCAGCTTTTGTTATATTTTTGCGCTAACCCAGCCTTTTTAGTGAACGAAACATTGCAGTATTGTGGTGAGTGGCAAAAATTCAGACGAGTCAGTCAATCATACATTCAGTTAGTCAGTCAGTCATAGTGTAAACTTTCCGGGGGGTACCCTTGATTTTTTTTATAGTAATTTTCTTGCACGGTCAGAGATCTAATCATTTTCTAACAATTCTTTATTTTTTTTGCCAAGTTTAAAAAAATATTGAGGTATCTCTGTCGTTACTGGCAAAGGTCAAAGCGCTGTGATATTTGGGGCAGACGTCTGCCTGCCTGGGTATCGGGAGGGGGCACTAAAACTTTGCACTATTCTTGGATCCCTAGTCTCTTATGCCCGTTTTGTTCAATCTCGACTAAGCGGAATCATGTAAATATCAGTGGGTTTATGCATCACTAAGACTGAAAAATAATTTCTAGAACCGAATAAAGTTCAGATTGACGCAAGACTTGGTAACCTAGCAACGGAATTTAACGATCTTGTATTTCCCGAAGGATACGTTCATGACGGGAAAGGCAAGAAAAGAAAGGTGCGGCAACAATGAAAACCTTACGATTAGCGCAATAACCGTAGAATATCCCGCAAGCAAAACAACCCATTTAAGTAAATAACCTTGAATGGTCAATTCTACGAAAACTGGATTTCACTATCCAGCGGTTAGTAATTTTTTCAATCGCTCCAAAATTGCGAGTATTCTTACATTCGGGATTCTCTTTAATGGTTTTTAGCTGCAATTCTTTAGTTTTATTGCTTTTTAAGTATATACTTATACATAAAAGTTTAGGCGTTCTGATTGGCTCAGCCTGAAAATGTAAATAAATTTCCCGATAAGTTCAAAACGAAATTCCTCATTGTTGGGAGCCCATAAGTTATGATTTTTTTGCTCAAGGTCCCCAGTGCTCAGATGAGACGTGAACGTCAAAGAGGACATAAAAATTACAAATAAATGGCGTGATGGTCCTCATGGTCCTTGGTTAGGATGGGGCTGCCCGTCCTCCGTATATCTTCATAATCTAGTAAATAATGACTGAAACTTTTCTGGCTCCTTGCCCGTGAATGGACCAACTAAAATCCATACACCAGACGGGAAGAGAGTAAAGAGGGCCAGTTAGAAAAGCATACTCTGTATAAAGCTTTTTCAAACGAGATATAATCTTAAGAGATCTATAAGAAGATGATGTCTTATGATATTTTTCTCAGGCTACAACTGGTGGTTCTAGCACGTCTACTAAACGAACAAAAAATGACGATTCAAATCCTGTGGATGTTAAGGAATATGCTACGTCAGGAACGGTATGTGTTGTAATGTATGATATAATAACAGGGGCTGGTTGTTCAAAAAGCGTTTAGCTTAAACGGCGGATATGCCAAAGTTTAAAAATACTCTCATAGTTCTTCTGAACGGTTGAACCTGCATCTTTTAAATATTATGCATTACATATGTTCTTCCATTGAAAATTAAACTATTTACATCGAAATATTTCAGCTCAGTTGTTCAATAAATGTATAATTTTGTTTCCCATTTTGAACTTATCCACCGTTTAAGCTAAATGCCTTTCGAACAACGGGCCCCAGGTGTACAAAACTAGTCTCCGTGTGATACAACTAGCTATATATTAGCTATTTCCCAATCGAGTAGGGAACTGGGTCTAGTCGCGAACCCCAAAGCATCTACGGACTGTATGGAAAGACAAATGATTTCAGACTTATATTTCCTGTCGCTCCAAACAGCCCATAGATGCTTTGCGGTTTGCGACTAGACCAAGTACCCTGCTCGATTGGGAATGGCTAATTGCATCTTTTGTATACCTTATTTAGCTCAACAAGCTAACAGTTCCAGTTTTAAAAGAATTTGTGAAATCCAACGACATCAAATGTGGAACCAAGAAGGCAGAGCTTATTGAAGGTATTAACCTCCACCTCGGACTGCACTAAAATGACTGTAAGTTTCCGCTACATTTTAGATGAAAGTTAGTGTTATGTTAGATTCGAAAACAAAGAACTGCATTATGTTTTTTTATGAAGGCAGCGCTTAATGAAACTATCAGCCTACATTTTGGACTGCACCGAAAGCTCACTATCTTTGTAGGTTAATATTATGTTGTGGATTCGAAAACAAAGACCTATGTTATGTTTTTTATAAACTATAGGTATTCTGCTAAGAATTAATACCTTGAGTTTGAAGCATAAACCTGAAATAACAAGGCAATATGTGCTTTAACGAGAACTTCAGCAATTTCACATTAATTTGACAGAAGTTTCCCCAGAGTGGTGCGTTAATAAAACGAAATGAATAATTAAAGACCTATGAGTATTTAAGCCGTTTTCCTCGCACTGTTTACAACGGCAAATAAACCCAATAGTTTCCTCAACTACTACCTCCTCATTCAATCCATACGACTTGCAACTCCTATAAAACCATAACTAATATATTGCTATTACTGGGTGTTTTGACCGTTCTGTTGACCATCATTTTATACTGTGGAACCAATGTCCTCCCCGCAGGTTTTTTCCCGGTAACGGATCGAAAGCATCTCAAGCAATCGAAAGCATCCTTATACGTCACGGAAAACGGCCTTATCTTGCCTTGCGGGCGGGCACGTACGCACGCACGAAGAGTTACTGAATGCCAGATTACTGCATGGATAATGTAGCCAAATATTGCTACCATCATCGTTGATTTTTCGTTTAAAACAAAGAAATCAAAGCGACAACTACAACAATGTTTAATTGGCTTCTTTTTTTCAGTGATCTGGCAACCCTAGTCGCCAGCTTGATAAGTGGGGTCGGGGAGACATTCATATTTGTGTTTTACATTATTACTCCGGTGTGAGCGACGATATTGAAGACTGGCACGTGGGCGGCACGACGGAGTTAACGCCAGAGCAGGCGTCTTGTTTCTTTTCAAATTGATTGTTTTAACGGTGTGTGAACATGAATATATGAATATGTCCACCCTACTTGTCAATGCTGGCGACGCCACTGCATGTAACCATTACAGGACCCGCTTAGCCGAGATTCAACAAAACCTGAGATGACTTTGTATTGAAATTAGTATACAGGGTGTATAAAAAGCTGCAACCGTAATAATTCCGAGGGGCCTACGATCTTTTTTATTGAATAGAAGCAAACATATATGAATATTTCACTAAATAGTTGCAATTTTTTATACACCCTGTTATCATAAAGAGTGCTTTACAGGGTGTCTCAAAAAAACGAAAACCATTGAAATCACCTATAACAATGTAATTGTTAGAGTTTGATTGCCTAAGCACTCTGTTGGGACCCACAAGTGTATAATTGTTTGCCATAAGTATTTTTATGCATGATGCAGTAAAATTTGTTTGTACGCAAAAATATTTATTTAACAATATTTACAATTTGTCCTTTGTCCACCTTCGTTGAAAAGCGTTTCGTACGCGTTGACATTAAACACTCGTTATTCCGTGGTCAACTGTACCATTTCTTTCGAAGCAATAACAAGGCTAATTACTCCGGTGTGAACGGCTGAGTTTAAAATTCGCCTTGGTTTTGTTTGGTTTTGTCTTGTTTTTATTTTTCGTGGTCGCAAGTGTGTTTTGGCGCGAAATCTACTAGCATTTGAAATGTGTCTGTGACCGTATTTATTTACGTCACAGTTTTGTCTCCTAAGAGTTGTGGTCCACAGCTTTGGCTAATTTTCCGATGCGCGATTCGATTTCGTTCGCATGATACGGCAATTCCTCCAAGAGGAAAAAATAAACCGTTCTTTTGATGCTGTTCAATTAAGTTTAGATTTAATTGGGGTCAGAATATATTTAATACATGTAGATTCTTGTCCTATCTTAATAATATTTCGCCGTTTAACAAGATGTGGTCGTATATGGAGAGTTGACACGTCGCATTTTGCACAGGATTGAAGATTTAATACTAGAAGTTACTATCGCAAGGGTAATGCTGCCATGCGCAAAAAGCATTTTGTACAAACAAGGGTCGATGTTTAGCAAAGACACGGTTAATGAAAATGCTGAATTTCATCCTGTTGTTTGCCTTTTGGTTGCTTTTACACGACAAAATTCCTTTGACAATTTTTTTCTCCTGTTGTATGTAAAGTAGATGAATGAATTATGAATGTATTTTATAATTCGCTTCAATGAGCAACCATATTGTTTTGTACCTGAATACGCGCAGTCACGTGCGTCAAGAGCAGAAATTTGTCAAAGAATATTTGATCATGCAAAAGCAGCCTTAAGCAAGTCAAATTCAACATGAATCATGTTTAATTGTTTTTATTCGCATGATTGCTCTGATGAAAGCTTGCAGTTTGCCGAATTTTACCCCTTTAAACTTGGAATGTTTTAACTAGATCAGTCTCAAAACTTAAATATTTTATCATGTAGTCTACTGATCGCCAGAATAACATAATAGCAGCATATACATATACATATACATATATTCAATTTATTTTCAAGTGGGATTTTTTTAGAGGTTGCTTCAACAACAATTTAACCTTTAGCGGATGACTGTTTGTCATCAGACTTCAAGTTGTATCCTGCTTGGAATTAAATTGGGTTATATATAGTATTCAGATTTTGTTATTTAGTTCTAATATAACTATATAAGCGCGAATTCGAAAGGCAAAATGTAAGACAAAGTGAATGTATCATGCGGTTTATTTACATTTTTGAACAATTGAACTTCTATACTTTTTAAAGTACGATGTGCTTCTGAATTTCGTGATCAAATAACATTTAAGTTGGGAAGGCATCTAAATGAGTATGAACTATATTGGTTATGTTCAGAAGCTTTATATTGAAGACTGGCACGTGCGCGGCACGCCGCAGTTAACGCCAGAACAGGCGTCTGTTCGTAATTTTATATTAGCATTTTATAAGTTGCATTAATTCCCAACGGGCTAAAATTCGTAAACACGGCTTTCAAATTTTAACCTTGAGTGATTTCAATAGTTTTCGTGTTTTTTTTAGACACCCTTTAGCCATTCTGACAATAGCTTAATTGTTATTGTCTGGTTTGATAAAGACGTCACATTTCAATACCTCAAAATTATCTCACGCTTCATTGAATCTCGTGCACGGAACAGGGTTCATGTAAACAGCCCCTAAAACAACTTTGTTTTTAACTTGCGCTGTCCTGCGCCACCGGAAAAAACTGTCATTTAATCTCATGCGACCCGTGTTGTTGCGTGAAATTATATTTTTCAATGCACTTAAATTCGACAATTCGTTTTGTCGTTGTCATTAAGGTTCTGTTTACACGTTACGGTTTCCGCTCGTCACAACATCTTCGTATCCCGTAGCAACGATTAGTAACAAATGCTTATATTAATTTGAGTGATTTGGCATAATTTCTTCATGTTTTCACATTAGAGACCTTAGCTTGACGTTTACGACAACCCTCTAACGGCAAACAAGAAAATTAATTCTGAATATTAAAAACAAATGCTAGGTTTCTCAGGCCGAGAAAATTGGTGCGTTATTTTCAAACAGAGAGTAACTACTGAGACAAATTGTGGCCGAGAAAGTGCCAAAAATCTAATTTTAAATGTTATTTGAAATTAACCGTTTGGTGTTCGCGGTTTGTCATATTGGTTAAGCTAAAGGTCTCTATTAAAGTCTTCGCTGCCTTTTATTAACTTTGACCTCTTTCGATAGCAATATGCCTAAAAATAATCGTCGCACATGTTGTTGCACATGCATTATTTATGTTATTTGAGATGTGAATATAGAACGATCAGACATTCATTCGTTTTGATTAATCTTTGTAAACGTATATTGCTTGCAATATATATAACACTTTAAAATGAAAGATAACGTATTGGGCGCTAATGTACGGTTACAAGAACCATTTGTTTCCATAAAAAATGACCCAGGAAAATGCGTAAAGCGTCACTTGGGCAAAAATGTGTATCTTCTGTTATTCTCTCTTGTAACTCTTCTTGCATCTTCAAGCATCGTGAACGGAATGAAATTTTGCTTTGACGGAAATAACGAAGGTATGTTGTGCTGGAATACATAAATATATGTATTCCTATTCTCCTTGTAGAGTTAGAGACTAAAGTGCGGGTGCATTTAGCTGAATGTCATTCTGTTCTGTAATATGCGTGAGCTACGTTCACGCTGGACAGGATGAATTTGGAACTGTGCTCGTTCGAATTCGGTTCAGGTGTTCACAGTTCGCACAGTAAAGCCGGTTTTCCCCTAGGTGGAATTTTTCGATCGAACAATTCCCGCTCGATTTTTCGCTCGATTTTCTTTTCAATTCTAAGAAGTCGACCGTACCACAATTTTCACAATTGAAAAGAAAATCGAGCGGGAAAATTTTGTTCGATCGAAAAGTCGCCTACTGGAAAACCGCCTTAAAAGTGGATGAAAATTTCACCGATTCTTCGTGTTCACACTAGGAAACAGGAGCGATATTCGAGCACAGCTGCAGGATGTATGTCCCAAAACACTACCCCTCATTGAAATCCGATATTTTGTTTTTGGCAATCTATAATAACTTCTAAAAGAAACAGCAATACGTGTCAAATTACAAATTCATATTTTCCGTTAAATTGAGTACGAATGACGCAAATAACTACGGGGCAACAGATATTTGTTGTAAAAAAAGGAAACGTTTATTTGTGTGTCGCGTTGTATTAATATTTGGCCGATCAGGAGTTATAATTTTTCGCCATTTACTTGATAGATTCTCACAACGCACGTAGAAAACAAACAGATCTCATTTTGGTGGAGGGTACTTTTTTGGCACACCCTGTCTACACACGTTAATTGATCTCCTCTGTTACCCTGGGTTTTCTGGGTTTACTGTATATATGATTGTATACCTTTCGTATCAAGCTTTACATATATTAGGAACCCTAAGATGCACCAAATCTAGGACGTGGACGTGACGTAATACTATACTGTGTTATACTGTCGTTATTTCCACAGTTTCACAACAGAACTTAAACAAGTTTTAGACTCATTTTGGTAAAAAAAGGCAAAACCGCGTGGAAAGCCGTATATGTAAAACAAATTAAATCTGGGTCCCTAACACTGGTACCCTAGTGGCTGTTTCATGTCACGTCTGCGTCGCAGATTTTTTTTCCCAACGGGTAACAGGTCACAGCTAACAGGTCATGAAAATTTTAACAATATGTGATTGCAACAGTTTTGAGTGTTTTGGGAACACCCTGCATTTCCATAGCAAATTAGCTACTCGAGAGAGAAAAATATAATTTTATGTCCAACAGTGGTTAATATCAATTATAACTTTACACGCAATAAAAATTATGATTAAAAATTGAAAGTATATCAAAAGCAACAGTGCTAATTGCCACAATTTTTTCTGAACTAATTCATATTAAAAATTAAAGCGGTTTCGGTTGCAATTTCAAATGTTTGAATTGAATCTTTTCCTTGAACACCCCTCCCCCCCCCTTACCATCGTGATAGCAACAATCCGACGTCCCTGTTGAAAACGTTCCAGTAAAGTTCAATATTAAGGCCTGATTCACACTAGCCCCCATTTTTAGTCACTATATTAATTTCTAAAAATATCAAGAACAGTCAGAGTATTTTACACTGTTTTGGTTTGCTTTAGTTTTAACTGGAGTTTATGTTCAGAAAAGTAATAAACGTGCTAAATTTCAGCAATTTTAAATCAAGTATTCTACCCATTATTATGAGCAGAACCGATGCCTGAAGCACTGTAACCCACCTTTAAAATTTTCGCTGCACATGAGACCACAGGATTTATTGATCTTTAAATGTATACCTATTTCGTAAATTAAAACGATCTATATAAAATTGTTTCACCTTTATTGTTTTACCTTTTGTAGGTCGTCGATTAAACGCGACAGTGCTTACAAGTTGCTATACCCAGTCAGCCGCTAAATGTGTTCTTCAATGTTCCAATGAGCCATGCTGTCGATCTGTGAACTACCACAAAACATCATCAGGCGAATGTTTAATTGAGAACTGTGAATTACTCCATGCTATTTCAACTGAAAATCCTCAGTACTTGGTCGAAGATAAAGATTTTGATTATTTTATATTGTTACCCCAACCGGAAAGAGTAAGTTAATATACTCGAAATGTGCATTTTGATCAACATCAAACCAAGTTCTGACATCTCTGTGGAAAAATTATAAAATTATAAACGCGCGCAAACCTCTTCCACTCAAATGGGATGCTCCAGTGAACCAGGCATATGACTAAATTTAAGACATTATCGATGAATTAATACTGATTTAACATAATCCACAGGGCACGGGGGAACGATCAATAAAATCATAAAAAAGTTACGATGTATCATGTATATGCATATCCAAGATGGCGGAATGTACGATTATTATTTCTAGAAATGAGGGGAATATTCGAACGAAAAACGATAAAGCAAATCTGTAAAAAAGGAATTTGCAATATACTGAATGAATCTTTTAAAAAAAGACGGAGTAAATTTTATTGGCAACGTTCTTTAAATTAAACTTCCGTCTGGCTTTCTACTCTCTTGAAATTTCCTGAAAACCAATTTTGTCCACTTTTGATAGAATTTCGAAGATTTGAAAGCTATTCTTCTCCTTACATGTTATTTAAGATGTTGCTTAGCAACAAAAACTTCAAAAGCCAGAAGCGTGCATTATGGCCTCACAATGCACGCGCCGTAGCCAATCAAATTGCTCGTTATATCATACTTATATTATAAAACTCAATAAAAAGAATTTGTACAAATATTATAATTCGAATTCAATTACAAAAAATAAACAGTTAATAGAAACACGCGTGGGAGTTTGGGAGAACGAGATTATTTCGAGTTCTCCCAAACTCCCATAAGTGTTTTCATAACTGTATACAAACACAGGAAAAAACGTTTTCTATTTCTTTTATAAAATTAACTCAATAAAATTATTTTGTACCAATATTAATATTGTAATTCAATTACAATTACAAATTCACATCACATTACTTCGTATGTCAATTTTGGCGGGAACAAGGAGGCTAACTATATCCCTTTGATTGCATACCTATGGAAAAATCCAATAAACGTAAAGCTCTATTTTTAATTAGTCGTTTGTTTGTAGGAGTTCAACTGCCAGTGCATGTCCTGCCAGAGTGATATTGAAGAATGTTCTCAAGTGAACAAGAATTGTTCTTGTCTATACGGCCAAGATGAACTGAAGTGCGGTAAAAAAGGTTAGAAACGTACAACTCGTTAAAATAATATAATTATAATAAAATGATAACATTTATAGTACGCGCGTGCTGATTGGTCGAGAAGCGTGTCTCAATAACTGCGCAAAGAAACGCGGGAATTTTGTTTTTTATTCGTTAAACAAGAATGATACAGTAATATAAACAAAAATCAAAGATGAATACATATAATATTTATGTGTACCAAATAATGTTCTTCTTAATTCGTCCATTCTCCGTCGATATTTTTCGTCTCAAAAATAAAAGTACAAGCTTGTTTTTGTTCAAAAATATGAGAGCTGGACTGTTACTACGGCAACGGTCTAATACTGGGGGATTCCAGACCGGCAAAGAACCAATCAGCGCACGCCATTTTAGTCACGAGACCGCGTGCCATATATAATAAATATATAATATAATTCTTATAATTCGTCTTATTCAATCACATGCAGGGCCTCCTCTCAGCGGAATATAAATACTGTATAGTTAATATATATAATTGTTGATTATCCCAGAATGAGCGCCTCACAAAAGCTATTGTATATTTCTGCATGCGATCACATCAAAACTTTCAGTGAAAGTATTGTATTGTTTTTTGAAGCTATAAGTGCTATAACGATATTGATCTTTTTTAAAGATTTAGCGCCTTCTGACTGCAGTGATGAATCGCCATCTCAGGCATGTCATGGATGGAAGGCGAGTTGCGGCAGTAATATAATAGTGCAAAGATCTTGCAAGAAAACATGTGGCCTCTGTTAAGATAGTATAAGTGTACGGGGCCGGTTGTATCAAGCCCGTTTAGCTTTAACGGTGGATAAGCCAAAATTAAATAACACTCTTACAACTCTCTTGAATGATTCAACTTTATGCACTGAATATGTAGTTGTAAAGATTATTTTTGTATTAAGGTTAAAAAAATTTAGTTATTGTTGAATAAAACGATAGACTTGCTTTCTATTTCGCACTTAACTACCGGTTCGATAAGGTTAGACACGACCCCAAACAAGCGTAGAAAATTGTGAATAAAATTCTCAACCGGAAACAAGAATGTAGAGATATACTGTAAATTCTATAATAATTACTCATGCAGAGAGAGGACAAGTTTCTAATCTTATACGTATTGAATTAGTTAATGATCAGGGGCTGGTTGTATGAAAGCCGGATAGCGCTATCCACCGGATAGTGATTTTTTCAACCGTCATTCTAAAAATAGTTGAAAAGCAATAGAATTTCATCTTTGGAACCAACAATTATTAAAGAGGATTCTCGATTTAGGAATAATAAGATTTAATCAAAGTTATACTAAAAAAACGGGCGGTTTTAAAGCTATTGAAAAAACCACTATCCGGTGGATAGCGATATCCGGCTTTTATACAACCGGCCCCAGCAATATTGGTCCTAATACTGCAAAAACATGAAATCACGGGATAGCATAAATATTATATGTATTTGTCGGTGACATAGCAATTAAAGTGTCAAACGGACCTTAGGGCTTGGGGTTTATGCATGTTGATGAGTTTTTAGCATGGGAGAAGCGTATTGACGAAATTGCCAAGAAAATTTCGTCCGGTATTGGGGTGATAGGTTTTAAGTATGCATGGGTTTTATAGACCAGAAAGCTAAAACCTATTGTGGGGCGATTTGAAGTTCCTATACCACGGTCGTGAATTTTGAATACATCAAAAGTTTATGGTATTTTTAAAAACTTTGAAATACGTTTTGTTGTTGAAAAATTTTGGATTTATTAGTCTTTGAATTAAGTTATCGGACATGACGTCAAATGCATGGTATAACGCACTTATCCTCCCAAACTTAGATTATTTATTCCTATGAAGTTTGGGACACAATTGGCGTCTCGCTTTCTGATCGGGAAAATACAGGGTGTATAAAAAAGTAGCCGCTATTGAAATGAAGCTTCTGTTGGAATTTCAATGTTTGATTATAATGCTCGCTCTGGTTTGTAAATTAAGCATTTCGCTTTACATTTTAAGCATCCGCGAGTTAAGCATAATGATATAAGGCATCCCAATTCTAACAAAATGTAGAACAGCTAGAGTTATTATTGGTTGTATAAATGAGCATGGGCGGCCAACCTGAGTTTGCTCTGGACGTTTTACTAAACGTTGAACGTAAAGGCGCGGCAAATGTCTAGCATGTTTGACAATTTCTGCCTCGCGTGCCGAAATCTTTCCTTGTGCGGCTAAATGAAAGGTATCTGCTTACGGATCGTCTTAACAACGCATGCGTAGTATACGAAAGTAAACATCCAAGATAACGGTGCAAAATGAATTGATGCATGGCTGAGGCCATTTTGGATGTTTACTTTCGTATACTGCGCATGCGCTGTTAAGGCAATCTGTAAGCAGATAGTTTTCATTTAGCCGCACACAAAAAGTTTCGGAACGCGAGGCAGAAATTATCAAACATGCATGCTAGATGTTTGCCGTAAGTAGCACGAATGACCAAAGTCGCCGGAAAAGTCGCCCGCACACGAGAGCAATGGCCACGAATGACTTTTTGATAAGAACATACTCAATCAACATGGCTCTAGTGTGCACCGGTCATAACAAAGTTAGTTGTACGAATTAACTCAGTTTAGCGCCTAAACGATTAGCTGATATTTTTTCAAATGACGCCTTTCTCTCAATACGAGGCTTTCCACTTTTATGACTGCATTTGTTTCCGCCGCGCGGTCATAGAAACATCAGCTATTAACTCGTTTAAGTCATTTCATAGTATAAACTCAGGTAAACCTAGCTCGGGAAATGATTTGCTTCGTTTAAAATCGCATACATGTATTTCTAGTATAAATATTTATACAATGTTTAAACTCATTCAATAGTTAATCAAACAGGAGATATACAGGGTGTCCTCAAAAAAGTCCCCCTATTGAAATGAAACTTTTGTTGGAACTGAATGCATGATCAAAGCAGTAGCGTGTAAATAGCACAGTTATTAGGTTGAGGCATTCAAATAAAGCGTCTTGCTTTCTATTAGGTTTATCATAATATTAAGGCAATCAGATTCTAACAAAGGCTTGATTTCAATAGAGGGGACTTTTTTGGGAGACCATGTATAGCAGGGGCGAAATATTGAACTACTGGGTTTATAAAAAAACTGCAACCCCAATAATTCCCAGAGGCCTACGATATTTTGTTATTGAGTAGAAGCGAAAAAATATGAATATTAAGTGTTGTAGTTGTTTTGATACACCCTGTATTGCTGTGCGCTTTTTCTAAAACACCCTGGGGTGTTTCAGAATGAAGACGACCGCTTTTTTCCCCCATTATACGCTTTGTTCTACACGGTGTATAAAAAAACGCAGCCTTAATAATCCCCAGGGGTCTACGATTTTTTGTTATTGAATAAAGGCGAACATATTATGAATATGAAGTGTTTCAGTTTTTTTATACACCCTGCATGTATTGCTGTGCTTTTTTGAAACACCCTGGGGTGTTTCAGTGTAAAGACGACGGCTTATTATTAATGATTATACGCTTTGTTCTACAGGGTGTATACAGGGTGTATAAAAAAGGCTACCCTGTAAATGTAACCGGGCTCAGGTGAATTAAGGCTACTTTCCACTTACGCGTTTTTTATACGCACGAACACGTACGGAAAAATTTAATTGCTTTTAAATTTTTATTATTTAACATCTAGGTCAACTAATGCATACTAAGATATTCAGAAAACTATGTTCCTTCGATTTTTCACTTTGTTTTTTAAAGGTACATGTATAAGGATTTAGACTTTTCGTGCGTGTACGTGCGTATGAAATCGTGTAAGTGGAAAACAGCCTTTACAGTCCCTAAAAAAGCTTATATGCATGCCTTTCATACCTTAACACTGCGGTTGCCGTTCGTTTCCGAACGGAATGTTATGAACAGATGAGAACGAGAACGCAATAGTCATGTCGAAAACATCTTAAGAAATGTCTCACTGCGGTTCGACTTCGGTCTGAACTCCGTTCAACCGTGATCAGACCGAGGTTTGACCTAGTTTACGTGGAGCACGAATTATCCCGCGGCTAAGCGAGGTGAATTGTTTGATATTGTTTTGATATAAAGCATGAGTTTATGAAAAGAGCTTTTGATATAAACCAAATTCAGACGATCAATTTCATGAATCCGGAAGAGATAATCTAGTGCATGTAAACACAGGGGGGATCCAGCACTAGTGCACTGACAAATTTGCATTACAAAACAAAGTGGTTATTTTTTGCAGTTTTCTTGTGTCATGCAAATTAGTGCACTAGTGCTGGATCCACCCCTGTGTAAACAGGCTCAAAACCGGTTGCAGGTAAAATAGCTGTTGGTTAGGTTTTCCCCATCAAATTTTGCGCTGAGGAGCTGCATCAAAATCAGTGTAGAATAAGGCCTTGTTCTCATATATCGCCATTCATTAGCGATGTTTATTGTCGGTGGTATATTGATGCATAAAATGCTTTGTCTATGGAAAAAAAATATTTACTTCATTCGTCACTGACAATGGATCGTATATCGAATATCTCGTTTGAATTACGTCATATGAGAACCAGGCTTAAGGTTACGAACCGATTTTTTTTTTTTTGTTTTGTTTGCCGGATGATAAAATTCACGTAACACAACATTTCGAATCGGTGGAGTTTTTCAATGAAACAAATTTGTCTGGCCTGATCTTTGTTTAATTGTGAGAAAAGCAGCGTACGAAGCAAATTTACTTGACTAATGAAAAAATCAGTCGAAAAATTTCGTGTTATGTTGAAAGTTGCGTTGATGCTCATTGTCTAAAATTACAAAAATAATGTTGCATCATTGATCTGGAAGGAACTAACTCCCACTAGCGGAGATAGAACGTTCTACTTATGTACTTTATCGTCTATTGCAGAGCCGTTTTCGAGGGAACTCCCTCCTTCAGTGACAGTTTTCCAGTGAAGGTTCCTTTTGAGTTTAAACATGTCCATTAGCAAAATAACCGTGTTTAGAAAAAATGCTCTCAGCAACCTCACTCCGTTAAGATGGATTCGTCAGTAAGTAGCCCCCAAAATGCTGAAAATCAAGTCAGAAGGACACAAAATATATGCAGAAAATTTTCTGGAAGGGTCCCCCAGACCCACATGCAAACCTGCAGCTTTAAATTACTAATTTCTCGTTATGAACAATTTGTTCATGCTACCCCCCCCCCTCCCAGTTATGATTTCTTGAAGAAGGCCTTGATCTATTGAACAATCGGGGTCGAATCGTAAACGGTCTGCTTTTGATTTGGTTGCAGTCAAGTAAATATTTTGCAGAAATGATATTTACACGTGAAAACCAAAACTAAGCCGCTTTTTCTTCAGTCCTACTGGCATTTTTTTATTTGTTTTGTTTGAATCTCTAAAAACTGCGCTTTCAAAAAGTGTTTTAATTTTTTCTTTATTACGCATGAGAAAATTAAACCGTTAGCAATAACTGATATCGGGTGCGTATCTTCGCCAATCAGTGGCAAATTGTTAAAAATTATTTTATAAATATAAACAATAGCCCGGTTTACACTACACTCAATTTATCGGCACGGCACGGCTAAAATTGGTACCCGTACCAAATTTTATTAGTGTTGAGGATATTAAAACAAAAACCGAGCACAGGTGAAATGGGAACGGGTACACATTTTAGCCGTGCCGTGCCAATAAATACAGTGTGTAGGGAAAACGGGACTGGCGTAAAGCACCATTGGTTTATTAGAAGATATGCATGATGGTTTTCAATATCGTAGCTAGATATTTGCCAGGCGGAAAACGGATTCTTATTATAAATATGAGAGCCCAACATATAACATTTAAGAAAGCC